AAATAATATCAATTAATTCGTCAACATTTGAGAAAATTTCATGCGAATGATTAATTATCAAAAATGTCAAGATATTTCACTTGAAATTTCGCGAGTAATTTTCTACCACTGCCACACAGGTCTAAGAAAAAACTCCTTACTTTAAAAAATACTCTAACAAAATTATTCCACCGACGAACTTTCTCCGACATTTACAAAGAAACCGAACAAATAAAAAATTAATTATTATTCCGTCTCTTCTTCATTCGTCGAAGGAGGAATCTCGAAAGAATTTGATTAATTTTCATCAACGGCAGTTGAAGTCTTGAGGAACAACTCTAACGTGAGTTTTTCTGTCGACTCAGAGGCCAAAAGTATACTCGACATCCCACCCGAGGTCCCTCAAAGTCTCCAGGTAGTGGGGGGGTTGATGCCAGAAGAGGGCACAAGATCGAGAAAACCCAGTGAAAAGAGGAAAAAAATGAAGGAAAAAGTGACGAGGGAGAGACCGCGGGGTCGCTCACGCACCGAGGACACTCGAAAATTTTAGCTCTCACAGTGCGAGTGCAAAAGTCCTCCATCCTTCGTCGACAACTCTGGCATCAGGGGCCTCGAACCCAGAAGAAAAGAAGGAGAGGCCATAGTAGCAACAAGCCCAATGGTACTTGCAGGATGTAATTGCGAATATGTAGCAGGTATATACCCAGGTATACGGGGAAATGTTGGGATTCATGTGCGTAAGGCAGTGCCTATTAGCCCCAAGTGCAACGAGGTAGAGGAGAGAAAAAAATATATATCCACAGGACTCGAGTTGCGTGGGGTTGCCTGTACGCATATAATGGAAACCCTTCAAGCCAGCCCCATTTTCCATCCCCTCTCTCGCTTCCAGTGCCCTCTCCTCTCTCTATTCGCTGCCCCTTTCGCGGACGAGCACGCATACATAAGCGAGCTCGCGGGACTTCTTATGCATTTGTACGTGCCCGGAAATTTTACCCTCGTTTTTTTGCACAGGTGGAGAGAGAATGGCACAAGTGCACGTGGAAAATCATTCTTTTTCTCCGTTTTCATTGATTTATAACATTTAGATTTCCTTGAAATTTTAGTCAGTAAATGAATTTTGGATGGAGTTTCACATGCATTTTTTATATTGTTTGACATGAAAATTATATGAAAACTGGATTTTTTTATTTCAATTCATTATGAAAAATTGATGAGTTAGAGGTGATTGAAAACGCCAGTATTATGATGTCATAATACAGACATTTGCTTACATGACTGGAACTCCTTGAGTTTTTATGATAAAAAAAATTGAAAAATCGTATTTATTATTTTTTGTGTAAAAGTGATTCCATCTGAAGTTTCCAGTAAAAATTCCTCGCAATTTCAAAACTATTCAAAGTTTCTACTGATTATTCATTCAAAATTCTCTAGGAAAACCGGAAGATTGTTACAATTTTGTGATATTGCAGTAAAATTACATTAATTCTCCTACAGAAAAAAGAACCACCGTGAATATTCTCGTGAAAACCTCAATTTATATTTAAAAAAATGAAAATTTAATTCGTCCAAGCAATAAGTATTCAATCTTATTCATGAAACACTCACTGAGGGAAAAAATTAGCTCTGCCGAAACACCATATGTTCCACGTGAGAATATTTGATAGAGTGGAACAGATCTACGTGAGGAAAATTAACTAACTTGATAGAAGGAAATTGAATATCTTTCATAAAAATTAAGTTTTTGTCGTAATCATCAAAAATATAATCTATTATACGACAATTATTTCACCCGAGAGAACTCCATAGGTTTATACCATAGAAAGAATACATTGACGAGGAAAAAAAAATTTTTTCCCAAAGAAAATTATCCTCCCAAAATTATTCAGTTTTGCCAATAACACAGTTATCTGAAAAAAAATTGTAGTTTTCTCTGGAAATTATTTACCCGAAAGACAAATAAATAAATGTCTCACGAGAACAATTACTACTACGAAAATTATCATGTTTTGGTGAAAACTATATTTTTTGTCCACAAGTAAATGGATTCAACACGACAAAAGATCTCTCCAGGGGACCTATAATTCTTCGGTAGAACCAATTTTTTCTCTCAGTGCACATTAAATTACCGAAAACCTCCCTATTCTCTAACCGATTCTATATAAAAATTCAGTGTCCCACGCAAAACATTCATCTGTTTTCTAATAATTATCTATTCAAATACTTCCACCACAAATTTCCTATTTGATCCCCTAAGACGCAATCATGCACTTCCACAAATTAATTCCTTCCTCGTTTCCCTGAAAATTGTCAAGAGACTAAGTAAAAATAATTGAGTAATTAGAAGGGAATTTTAATTCTTTCTGATGAAAGTACTCAATAGTTTGTTCACCTTACCTCCCTTCTCCATTTGCCCCCTTTCGAATGCTCTGGGGGGATAAAAAAGATTGCACGATTGAAGTAGTGCAACTCGGGGTCGAGTGCAAGCGAGAAGGAGAAATGCATGCAGTGTTAAATAGAGGGGTCCAAAGTACGTCAGTGAAGACGCAAAGGTGACCGATGCGTGTGTAAAAGGACGCCCAGGCTCCGCTTGTCTTTGTACAACCCTGTCAGGGATATATGGGTAATTATCTTGGGTAAAATGTGTACATCGTCCAGCCTCTTATATTTTCTTCATTATTTTATCGTTCAATGAATTTTTCCATCTGAATAGATATCAATCAATGTTGTCTTTGTTTGACTTTTTTTTAGAAATCTGTCAGACAGTTTATTTATAATATAAGAATGTAAACAATGAAGGAAGCTTAATTACTAATATAAATTTTTTCTTATCAAGAATTATCACAATAGTGCAATAAATAACTTTTTAAAATATGCGAAAATCCAGAAATTTCGAGAGACTAAATCGAATAAACCAATAGAAATAAAAGATATAAACAATATCAATTGACCAAATTTTGCGATTAATATCGAAATTCATTGGGTTTTTAATTTAAATCTTCAGTGTCGCCATCTCTCGGGTTATTTATAAATTAAAAATTCTTTTTACCGGTTGAAACTCCCGCGCCCATCTGAAAACCCACCGGCAAAGATCTAAACGCTGCGGATGACAGTTCACTGGTGCTCATTGACTCGTTAATAATTGAAATGCTATCGATCAGGTGAGAGAAAGGGGCATTGAGTCAGCAAACACTCAATGATACAAGACATGATTCGAAAAATGTGAATTTGACAATGGGTGGGAACCACAGAGAATTCATTCGCGGATGAATAAACTCGCTAAATAGAGAGAAACTGGTTTCTACGTGTCATCGTTAATACATTATTCATAATATCCGTTCGACGCCTTTCTCTCTTCATGCACTGGTCAATCGACGAGTCATCGAACTCTCCTGAGTGTTCTGATTCGCGGGGAAATCCACGTATCGAATTGTTCGGTAACTGAAGTGTTCAAAATTTTTGGCTAAAATTTCCGGTATACTTCTCGGAAATTTTTGTCTCATGACAGTGTCGCTGAAATTTCAAGAAGTTTCGACATTGGAATTTCAAATTTTAGGGGAAAATCAATAAAAAGGGGGAGTTTACATTCAATTTTTCCATGAAAATTAATATTTGACATCGAGAAAATTTAGATAAATATATTCCTGAATTTTTAATTGATTAAAAATTCAAGTAGGTGCGGGAACTTTTGTCTTCCTGCCGTTTAAAAATTTGGAATTTCACTGAACTTTTAGTAGTAAACTCACAGTGCTAAATATTATCTGTACTTTACTGATAACTTCGTTATGTAGAAAAAAAATGTGTCAAAATTTTCTGAACAATTGGGCACATTTGAGTAGCGAAGCGGTAAACCGGGTTGGGTCGATTTCGACTATTGGCCAGTTTTTGACGAATATCTCGGAATCGAAGAGATAGAAATTGTTGTCATGACCTTTTTGGTAGAGTCAATTGAGGGTTATAAAAAAGGTCATGAGAAAAATTTTGCTATTTTTCGTAGATTCTGAGATATTCATCAAAAACGACTTAACACGGTTCACCGCTTCGCTACTGATTTTTTCTAGGCAGGGAAGTTTGAGAAAAATAGCTGATAATTTTAAAGAACGAATGGTATTTGTGGGAATATTTCTCTTTCTCAGATGTTAGCCGATCGAACCGCGCTATTTCGAGAAAAAAAAACAAATGTGGAGCTACGAATTCAATTCCAACGACAAATGAAGAGCTATTGCGTAATTCCCAGCGGTCATTTCCCTGTAGATCTTCATCTGTATAAATTTCCGAAATGAAACAGTCTGACAGCCTCGACTACAGTGGATACTCCCTACACTATTATGCTTTCGCTTCTCTAAGATTTCAATTGGGGAAGTTGACTTCCCCCACTATTAGAAGTTTAAGCGTGTGTAAGTAGTATATGGGCTCCTCTGCGCGGCAAGAATGCGCGGTAGGCCCACGGGAGGCACGAGAGGATTGAAACAGACAGATTTTCTACATCTGTTCCTCTTTTTCTCAGTCCAACCGTCGGCATAAGAATAGGGGTTTCCCGATTACGTAAATTTGGGGACTTCGCACCCCCGAAATCTGAAAATTCATGATTTTTCCCCCGAAATCGACTTCAATGTCACTCTCCTGAAAAATCTTAGTCAACTCTCTATGAAATTTCAATTTTTTTCTAACAATGCAGAACATTAAGAGAATACCGGAGACGTGGCGTCTGTATACGGAGAGAAAAGTTGGATAAAATTACCTAGAAAATCGGGGCAAATTTTACTGTATGAAAGGTAATCGTGGAGCGAAATGTAAAACATGTATTAAAGTAAAAAAACACATCTATGGATGCAGCAATTATCTTGTCCGGTAAAATTTTCCACACGTGTTCGGTAAAAATTCATTCTCCGTTGTAGAAAAATTTCACGCAATATTGAGCAATCGTTCACGTTCACTGGGATAATTTTTGACGGAATGCCGTGTAAATTTTACAGTTTCGACACGAATTACCCTCACGTTCAGTAATTTGCCCGGGCCAACGGAGAAAAATTCACTATTCGTCTCGCACTTTTCCGGTAATTTTCTCCAACTTTTTCCTCCGCGTGTTCTCAAAAACTATAGGATTAATTATCTTAATTAACAATTGAGTCCACACTCTTTGGCACTAAAAATTCTGGACAACTTGGCATGCACATCCATGGGGAAACCAGAAGACATCGGTGTAGAGACGATCGCCACTGCCCTCGAGTGCCACCAATCGCTTCTGGACATACTGCTGCTCACATCTACTCACATAGCCCTCGGGCAGTGAGCACAAACCGTTGCACGTTGTCGTTCTGTTGACAGACGAATTGATTCAATCAAAACTTTTCCAATCAAACGTACACTAAGAAGAAAATCCACATATCACAAAAATCATTTCTTGAGCAAAAAAGATCGCATACATATTTGATCAATTTATGGGAGGTTTCAGACCAGAAATCGGTGCTCTTCGGGCTAAGGAGGAAGTTACTGAATGAAAAGGTGATGTCTCTTTTCGAAATGGGATAATATTCCTTAAAAGACAAGAATAGTTTGACAGAAGGAACAGAAGATATTGTTTCCCTTCGAACTCAAAGCGATTGAGTGTACGCGACGGTTATATTTTGTTAATATCTGGAAGTTTTCCTCTGCATAAACTCTCTATTCATTCAATATGAAAGTCTCTGATGCATGATTCACTGAATCGAAGCTTTTAATATTTTTTCGTCATTTTCTCATCTTCTGACGCGAAAAAACCACAAGAAATTCTCACATTATCATGAAATGTTCATGTTCAAGTCATGAACACTTCACCGAAATCTGAAATTGTCTGACACATTATCCGGAATTCTTATTCCAAGAAATTTATCCTCAAGATATGAGATATTTGGCGCAAGGAATAGCCAGCGAGTTTTGTGATATTACGACGATATTTCTCTCAGTGTGCAATCAAACGTAACTACCACAGCACAACTGTGGACTCAGTTATAATTGATTAATCCAACGTACGAGCATGTTTCAGTCTTCACCAATTGCGAGTACTTTTCACGTGTCTCGGGTAGATTAACAACGTACATCCAGTTGCCACGATTGTTCAGGGCTGCTCGGGGCATTAGGTATTGGGAGTTTGTTTCGCAGAGGGATATCACTTCGGAGGGCGCTTGTCGCTTGGCACGATTGTGATTGTTTGGTGGTAGGAAAGGATTCTCACGGTGGGAACGATTTGGAATTGTCGTTTCTCGCCTTGTGTGTCTGAAACATGTGACGAAGTTGATTTGATGGGGTGATATTTATGGCACATTGCACGGTCGAAAATTTTTGGCTGAAATTTCCGGGACAATTCTGGAAAATTTTTATCAAGTGACAGCTTCACTGCAATTTCAAGAAATTTTGTCATTGGAAATTCACAATGTAATGAAGAAATTAATGACAATTGCAGATTTTAATTGAACTGTTTTATGAAAAGTAATACAATTTTGAATGGCGCGTTCTTTTGACTGCACTTTTTTTGCTAAATACTAAAAATCTTTTCGTAAAAAAAATGAAAACCAATTGGAGAAACATCGTAAAATGAACGATGTTATTCGAGTTTATTCTTAAAGCCCAGTTTCGCGGCGGAGGGAATTGAAAATCATATTATTATTATTATTGTTTTCAAGTTGAGAATTTTAAAAGAAAAAAATGATATTGAACATTCGTTCACAACTTGATTTTCTCGGTGAGTAACATCTTCCTGAAAATTGAAATTTTTTGTTATTTAATATGATATATTAAGTTCTATTATATTATAAAATTAAATATATTCAAAATTGAGAGAAATCGAAAACATGGCGCAAAACGACTGAACGGTTTTCTGCGGAATTGCCCATGCCCCTCAAAATCAAAACTTTTGTTTCACTGTTCGTTAAAAAAAAGTCGAATGAATCACTCGTCTGATTGCATTCCTCGGCTTCGCTTCGGTCTGCAACCCTCAAACTCGTCAGAAAGGTGTTTTTCGGCCTTGCGACGAAAATAGCTATTTGTTCTCTGTATCACTAATCGTTGAAAACAACAAAAGTCATTCTCACTTGTTCGTCAGCCATTCCGGTGGAAAAGTCTGTCCTCCCTGATACTGCGTCAAATTATCCAGAAGTAGTGGATTGTGTTGATTATCAGCAGGCGCTCGATACTCGTACCTACGCGTAAGAAAAAGACCTTCAGCTCCTCCACTGACCTAGAAAACTTCTCATAATTTCTCTGAATTTCTTACCCCTCGTGCCCACTGTCATTGGCGGCTGCACCATAAACCACGGGTGACTGGCTGACGATGGGGTACGAAGACGGAACAGTCGGTTGGCTGTAAAACTTCTGTACTTCCTGCCTCGGATACACGTATCCGCGATTGTAATCGGGCTTTCCTCTGCATGAACGAGATTATCTCTTTATGCAATTTCAACGATTGAGATCCAGTATTACCTGGGGATTTACCTGTAAACGTTGAAGCCGTAGTGAGACTCGTCCCTCAGGATTGACGAGAAGTCGTAGCTGCACTTGTCCACTAGGAATTTAATCAATTGCCTGTAATAAAGGTCAGTGGCTCAGAGCTGGTGATGCAGAACAGAATGAATAAGTCAATTTGATATAATAATTCGATGCCCAGTGAAATGGAAACACTATCACTTTTCAGAGCGCTCGGCTTTCAACTCAATCATTATGTGAGCGTTGAATAATCGCCGTACGCAATGTTTATTTTAATAAAAATGCATTCGTAATCTATTTTTCTGAATTCGATGAATCGACGGAAACTTTCATTTCAACTTTCATTCCAGGTGGACCGGTTTTAGGCTTTCTATGGATGAAAAGGGAACTTTTCTCAGAAATTTCGAGGTTTCAGTCAGCGTTGGAGCGTTTTTAGGGCCTCAATTCTCTTTCAATTTCAAGGGAAATTCGTGTTTTTGAACTCATTCGATGGCATTTTATGAAAAAGTAGGGTTTTTTTGATTCATGTTTTTTATTTTTTGATGAATTTGTTCACGAAAAATTGATCATTCACTCGGGATTCTCGAAAATAGTTGCTTATCCTTGTTTGTGTTTAAAAGTGCTACTTTTATTTCAATTTCTTTCGTTCACTTTGAGAGATGATAATTGAGAAAGGTGAATTTTCGGAAAGTGACGACTTGACATAGTAACTTTGAATTGAATAGTAAATACTAAAAAGTTTTCCTACAACTTTCTTTGTTATTCATTTACTTAGAAAGTGAGTGAACTCCAGGCACGTATTCATAATAAAGAGAAGAAAGCACGGAGGAGAGTAGAAAGAATTGGAGATAGGAACGAAAAGATCCGGAAATAGGCGCAATAATAACAAAGCACGAAGGAAAATCCTGAGATAAACTGAACGGAAAATCCGACTATGAATGATGTTGTTTTTGTTTGTCAACGGACTAGATCAATTTAAATAATGTCAAATAAAATTATCAATCGCACTGAGAAAAAAAATTAGGTCTGCCGAAAAATTATAGGTTCCTCTGAAGAGATTTTTGGTCGTATTGAATCAATTTACTTGCGGACAAAAAAGAAAGTTTCAACCATAATATGATAATTTTCGTAGTAGTGATTGTTCTCGTGCGACATTTATACGTCTTTCGGGTAAATACATTCGTTCTGCAGAGAATTATACGAGGCTCCGGTTGTATCAAGTGAATGTCATTGAGTAGTGTATATCTTTGTCCAATAAACACTGCTACTTTCCATGGAACAAGTGATAATTTCAAGAAGAAACTACAATTTTTTTGCCGATAACTGTGTTATTGGCAAAACTAAATAATTTCGAGGGGACACTTTTTTGGCAGTGTCTATTCGCACGCTCCACGGTAAATTTTACCGTGGATTCACGGTAGATTCTCATTTACATCATGTGTGACAACTCTGCTATGAACTCCGATTTTCAACTCTGGCAGTTCAGTTGGAAAACAGAGTTGTGACAACATTGTCCAGTGGGATTTAGGAGTCTCCCCTGGTTCAAAACCATCTTTAGAGACCCTAGCACGCCATTTCTCGACCCGCGCTTTCATTTGAGCGCAAAAAAACATTCATATCTTGTCTGACATCGCTTTTACAAACTCGGGTCTACAACTCGGGCTTTTAATTGAAGGCCCGAGTTGAAAACCCGAGTTTGTAGCAGCGATGTCAGACAAGATATGAATGTTTTTTTGGGCTCAAATGAAAGAGCGGGTCGAGAAATGGCGTGCTAGGGCCTCTAAANACCCCATTAGACAAATATGAATATCGTTAAGAAAACGTTCAATTTTTTTTTGGGAAAAAATATTCTTTCCTCGTCAATGTATTCTTTCTATGGTATAAACCTCTGGAGTTCTCTCAGATCAAATGCTTGTCGTACACCAGATTATATTTTTTCCTGCCAACAGTTCGAATTCTCCTCGGGATATTTCTGATGATCACGACCAAAATTTAATTTTTGTGAAAGATATTAAATTTCTTCTATCAAGTTGGTTAATTTCCCTCAAGTAAATCTGTTCCATCCCATCAAATATTCTCACGTGCAATCACTGAACAAGGAACACAATCGTTTGAATTCCAGCAGACCTTGGAATTTATCTCAAAATTTTCCAAAAGAAAAAAGAATCCCCGACGAAGGCAAGAAATCGTTATAAAATTGAGGAAGTAATGGACAAGACTTCATCGGAGGGCCACTATCTGGGCCATAACATCTGTCTAGCATTAGCAAGGTCCATTGTGAAGGTCACCAACGGTAATTCACAGATGATCGTGAGGAATTCTCGCTTATCAAGCAGTCCAGGTCGTCTCATTCCTCGAGATAAACCACTTCCAGCTTTCTCCACTCGACCCGCACTATCAGACCATTGTCAAAATGTTTAATTCATGATCCACGCCTAAGTATATTTTCTAATTCGCGTGACCGTTACTCAGATATAAGCCATCTTCCAAGCGCATCATATCCCCATTTATTCAGAAAGCTGCCCCTGTAGACATACGTATATACATATTTTTTAAGGTCCCATTAAGTCAATCCTCTAACGCTCAATTCAAATTTATTCAGTGTGTCGCCTACAGGCTATTTGTCTCGACGTACTACATTCACCTGAGCCTCATTTTCATCATTATTTGCTCCTCAATTTTTATGTTACCGGCGTACAACGTTCGAACGACAAACAAATAAAATAAAAAACAAGGTGAAAAAAGGGGAGTCAAATTTTTGCGCATTGCTAATTCCACCTTGTTGGGCCGGAGTTTTTTCATTCGCTGAGAATAATCTTGACGCTCCCTGAATGTTTAATCATTTTTATGTCTTCATTCTGCATGATTCTTTGAAAATTGCGCTTGCTGGGAATTGTTTTTTGTGTTGTGAGACGAGAGTGAGGAGAAGCAGGTCGTACTTTCACTGACATTTATCGGCGATTAGTTGTCGGAAGAAAGATGATGGAGTCATTTGGTCTGGGATCATTATCACAGTGATTCCTACAGCAAAATTTATGAGTTTCTTTACGGTGAAATCGGTCTGGCGATGGAATTGGTCTCGAAAAATTGCATTTTTTGAATTTTTTTATTAGGAATACTGCGAAATTCTAGGGGATTACGCTCGATAGATTAGTAATCGATTAAATCAACATTGATTGTGAACATTGTCAACATAATGATTCTGGTCATCTCGAGGTTGATAATTTATCCAGACAAAATAACGACTTTTCACCGAAACTTCTCAAAATTGCAAGAAGACTTTTATTTCATTCAAGAATTAGGATTAATATTTAATGAAGATCTGTGAACTCGCAATTGATGATTTTCAACAGTGAACATAATCTTTCATAAGAATATTTAATATGGTTGGGAATTGATGAAAAATGTAGTGAGATTCAGTAAATTAACGCGAATATTCATCATTTTCTTTTCACCGAACCTTGAAAAAACGATGAATTTTGCAACATTTAAAATGTAACTTTCAACACATGTGTGTAAAGTGTCATTTTACGCATGCGGAGCGTAAAATCTCGTATTGCGATGAAAAATAGAGTTCGACGCTCGTGAGAAAAATGTTGTTTGATCCTTGCGAGACTATCACTCGCCTTCGGCGAACGGTACGCACCTCCTACTACGGGTCAAAAACCACTTTTACGCATTCGTATCGAAATATACTATTGATGGATGGAACACCCAGGAAAATAGCGCATTTATTTTAATAAAATAAAACTCTTGATTAGAAATTGTTCTATTCGTTTCTTCAATTTTTTTTGTAATATCTGTCTGAAAAGTTCACTTTTCGAAGCGGTTTAGCGGGCGTAAAGTATTTGTTTGTCGCACGACGTGCGTAAAATCCAGCGCGTAAAGTAAATTTCATTTACATACCACCTTGAACTTTGCGCACTACTAACACAATATACTAATTAAAAAATCACAAACTCACAGGCGTATGGCAATGAAAATGTTTTAAGTACATGAAATAAATAATTCACTCATTCCAAACAAATCCCCTCACATAAAAGAATATATTAAATATTAATAGATTCGTTCTTTTCCCTGTCTAAACAATGATTTCATTTCTGGGTCATAAAAGTCTCTATTCAGATCGAGAAAACATTTTTCCATGTTTGAAAAACTATTCATTTAATGTGAATGAAAATGCGAAACTCGATTACGAGATAAGAAATGAATAAACTCGTTCATTTGATTCAAATAAAGTTAATTTGTGTGCAAAATGTTCTTAGCACAGTTTATTTGCAAAATTCGGCAGTTAAAAATAAATAAAAAATATAGAAGTTAAAAATATTCTCAATGCATAACTGTTTCCAGGAACAGAGCCATTTGAAATTCATAATATCTCCATGATCACGTAAATACTGACTTTGGATAATGCTCAAGTGTTTCACAGAAGGTTTGCCCGGGCTTGGCGCAATGGGGCGTGTGACCGGGTGGTGCAGGAACGAAAGGCTCGTAACGAGGCTGATGTGGGCATCCATAGGAGCCACAAGGCTCGCGCCAACCGCCCAATGAACCCTCCACCACCAGTACCTGCAAAAGAGGAATAAAGTAGTCAAACGTAGTAACATCCACTCGACTAAGCAGAAATTCCAAGTAAAATCCCCCTACTTCGTCATTACGACTACTAATGGTAGCCCAGTAAATTAAAGAGTTTCCACTCGGCAATTTGACTCGACGGGATTACTGTCATTAAGGCTTTTCCAGCGTCCACATTGATTGACTGGCGATCAAAAGTCCCAGATTAATTTTGTCTCACAGTCCAATTTCAAGTGTTGCCTATCAATTAGGAGAATTAAGAGCTGGTTTGAGTCGGATATTTACGGCTCTATCAGTTCTAATTAGTCTACATCGCGACTTCGCGCGGAATAGTGAATTGAGCGAGGGAATTCCAATGTGCGATTGTCCGATCATTGAGTCATCAACCCTGTGTCAAAGCTGAGGCGATAAACTTTCTTTTCTATCTTTCTGTTCTTCGCGGAATGAGATTTATAAAGCGAATTATAAATGTTCTTGAGATTTGATGTTGGATTTATGGATAGTGATGCACTGGGAGAAAAATTTGTTCTGCCGAAAAATTAAGGTCTCCTGGAGAGATTTTTTGTCGTGTGTAAATACATTCGTTCTACAGAGAATTATATGAGGCTCTGGTTTTATCAAGTGAATGTTATTGAGTAGTGTATATCTTTGTCCAATAAATACTTATAATTTCCATGGAACAAATGATAATTTCAAGAGGAAACTACAATTTTCTTGCCGAAAACTGACTAATGTTATTGGCAAAACTAAATAATTTCGAGGGGACAATTTTTTTTTTGGGAAAAAAATATTCTTTCTTTGTGAATATAATCTTTCTATGCCATAAACATATGGAGTTCTATCAGATCGAATGTTCGTCGTACAATGGATTATATTTTTTCCTGCCAACAGCTCGAATTCTTCTAGGGATATTTTTAATGATCACAATAAATTTCCTTCGTATAGTTTTTCGACAGAGCTAATTTTTTCTTTCAGTGTAAGAATTTTCTTTTACTTCCTACACTTTTACTCGAGGAATTACACTACAGTATTGAAAATTTTCTGGTATTAAATTTGTTTCAGATTGTTTTAATCAGTTATCAATCTTAACAATTGAAAACTGATCAAATTGCGCGGAAAAACTGCAGAAAAAAGTTTCTATTTTTTCGGGAATCTATCACAGTAATTTTTATCACTCGTATTTGGGGATAGATTCCTAAAAATTGGAGATGGGTCCCTGAATATCAGTGGCACTACACTGTTAATAATTTTCGGCTGAAATTTCCGGTACACTTATTGGAAATTTTTATCACATTTCAGTTCCACTGAAATTTCAAGGAAAATTCAATGCGAAATATTAATATCAGTTCATTCATTCCCTGAAAATAAATCTAAATCAGTCAAATTTCGGTAAATATATTGTTGAATTCTCAATTAATTGAAAATTCAGTGTAATTTTACATTGAATATTCATGTTTTCATTGAAAATCCAAATACGTTCAGTAATTATCATCTTAATGCTACACAAAATTTTCGGATTTCATTGAATTTTCAGTAAAATCTGAAATTTCATCATTCCCCCCCCCCCCCTCTCTCCTCGTCGCCCAATCGTAATTACTGTCACTCTCCTGAAAATTATCACTTCTGCATTCATTGTATTTCACAATTACGAATCCCCAATAATTGGGGATTAATTCCTGAAAACCATTGACATGTCCCTGAACATTAAAATGTTTTTCTCTTAAATATTCTCGTGAAATATCTCCTCATTTGTTTGGTTCCCCCTGTTCTATCCAGCCCACAGCAACCAGCCGCACTGTCTACCAGTTTTTGCTTCACCTCTCCGCTAATTATCAATTATTTCCCCATTTCAAAAGACTTTATCCTCGCCTGCGAGCAGTAGTAAAATCCCCAATGACTCAACCCGGATTCAGTTCGATTATTTCGGCTAAATACCCTGAATCACCTCACCGATGAAAAAACCAGAGAACGCTGCAAAAAATTAGACCGTCAACTCTAAAAAATCACGAGTGAATTGATATTAAGATCAAGGCGGCTGAGAAGTGTTACAATAGGCGAGGTGAGATCACGGATGAATGAAGTTTTTTCATACCGATATAACAGCCTAAAGGCCTATCCAAACAAAAAACCTCACATCACCCACGACTCCACTATGATAATCCACAAACACGCACAATTTTCCATGATTCATTCGACAAGTTTCAAATTATTTGCTCACCGCAGGCTGAGAAGCAGCTCGAACCCGACGCGAGTGATAAAACATATCCACAAATTACCATAACTTTCCCGTTACTCTCAAATGCCATCGCAGTTCCACTCATTCGTCAATAATCACTTGAGTATTTTTATTTATTCTTACCAGAAGTAGAAGTTGAACGAGCAGTCTCATTATTTCGCTAGTACAATCAATCATTCATGAAATCACTGGCACAAAATACCGTAAAACCCCAGCTTTTAGAAGACGTCTGTTTTTTCGTCTGTTCACATCAGCGGAAAAAACCACATTCACCCCGACTCAACCCCCCGAGCACTTATTCACTTTGAAAAAACACTCGATCCAGTTTTCATAGTTTCTCCGAGGACAACTGATACGGAAACGATTTCATCTTTGCGGTGTCACCGCTTCTGCTGTTCAAAATCGCCGCCAATGAGTGGAATGACGTGCTTCCGTGTCCGGAGCTGAGGACGATTTGATTCCCCGTGGATATCTCGCGTGTGGCTCGAATTCAACAACAGAAAAAACGTCACACATACACACGAGGTGCACGAGTTCCAGTCGTGGGAGGTGGGGCTTCCAACGGAAATACCACTTTCACTGTACAAACGCCGGGTACTAAACGAAAAAGAATTATGGTTTTTTTCTTAATGCCCTAAAGTAGCACTTGAATACTGATTTAGGGGAATAAGGCCACACGGATCTGATTTTTTAGTTTCTAAAACGTTTTTTGAATATGGAAAAATGTACGGGAAACAAACGCTTTGATTTTCAGGGACATGTTACCTGTGCAGAATTCTGAAATTCTGTCACCAATTTTCAGTGACATTGTCAGTGATTTCAAGCGACATCGATACTCATTTTCAGAGTAATGTAATAAGTCACTGACTTTCAGGTATTCATCTCTAATTTTGAGGAGTCCATCACCAAATTTCAGTGATAAAAATCAGTAATGATCAGGATCATTCCTGACAATCTAAACTTTTGTTATCACTGTGTGAAATCAACTTGAAATCTAGCCTTCAAACGATTTTCTGTTTTCGTTGTTTCGAAAAACGGTTGAAACAGTTAAAAATAGTTGAATATATTTTCTGTTCAATTCACAAGATCAGTCACGACACGCCACATGCACAAATGACATTAGATAACTCGACTGAATAGCGCACTGATTTTCAGGAATTTATCCTTAATTATTAACGATTCCCGATTGCGAAATTTAGTAAGTGTAAATTCTGAAATTTACTCATTTTGTCGCCAATTGTCAGTGACATTATCACTGATTGCAAGAGCCATCATTACTAATTCTCAGAGTAATGTCACTGACTTTTAGGAACTCACCGCTAATTTTTAATAATCTGTCACCAAATTTCAATGATAAAAATCACTAATAATCAGGATCATTCCTGAAAATCAGTGACGTCCCTAAAAATCAAAACCTCTCGTTTCTCTGTGTGAAATCCAATTGAAATCCAGACGTCAGACGATTTTCTGATTTCATTGCTTCGAAAAATGATTGAAACAGCTAAAAATAATTAAAAATATTTTTTCTTCAATTCACAAGATCAGTCACGACACGCCACATGCACAAATGACATCAGATAACTCGACGGAATAGCGCAAAAACTGCTATTGATGCGCAACCGGTCGTGGGATCGACTGTCACGACAGATTTACAACGTTCTTAATGATTTTATATACTTACGCGGAATTAAAGTTTTGTGACATTATCGTGTTACAAAGCTGGATGAATACGCGCGACAGCTGCACGCAAACGTATTTCAATGCCACATACTGTACAATAGAGATGTTGGTGTGGATAGTGGCACAACTGCCAAGGACTGTTTTATTATATATCATTTTTTTTTCTCGAGTAATTGCAATGTGTGTTGCAATTAGTTTATGTGTGCTAATGTGGAGGGATTATTAGAGAGGAATATGTTTGAATGATGATGATACAGTTACTCTTGAGGATAATTTATTCTTCATTGCTAAGAACTGAGTTTTATAGATTGTGAAAATTCACAGAAGGAAACCTTCTCTCGTTCTTTCTCAATATAAACTGTTATATTTGATATGCTATATACGAGTATAAAAAATTCCAAAGAGCCGAAACTCATTCGAGATGAATATTTTTTAACAATAACGACACAATTTTCGTCTCGACAATAATTTATTTCAACGCTCAAAACTGAGTTTAACAAAATTCTAAAAATTTAGAAAACAAAATCTCTCCATTGTCCCCTTCATCTCCCGTTCATCAACAACAAAAATCAAAATAATTGATAAACAACCTTCAATATAAATTATTATATTCAACTGTACATTAAATATCACAAATCAACACATACAAAATAATTCCATTCATGAACGGAACAGACTCGAATAAATATTACTGATATGAGAAATTCTATCGACAGACTCATCAGCCTCCGGGAACTCCGCCTCATTAAAAATAAGCGACAACAATTCTCTCTTCTTGTAATTACTCTCAACAGCGAGTACCTCAACCCTTTCGAAATCGAAGTCATGGACGTACCGAAAAGCATGCTCGGTCAATCGATTAGACACTTGAAAGCTGTGCGGCTGTCGAAGACTCTGATAATGCTCCTTCATTCTGACTCCCAACGGCCGCTTCGTGTGCTCGATGAAGATGAACCTGCACTCCAAGCACGAAATTTTGTAAACAGTATTCACCTGTTGCTCACGTCGTAATTTGTCCTTGTGTCCAGTGAAGAGCCAGCGAAGATTGCTATCAGTCCTAAAGCTCAGCGAAACCTTAAACTTCTTCAGATTCGACTGAAGATTCTCCGAGAGGCCCTGGACGTAGGGCAGAGTCACCCGTCTATCCTCCTTCAGCCTCCTTAACTTGAAAAATTCCTCCGAGTGATAATGCTTGGGATAAAGCAGGAGCGATTGACGTCTGCTCACTGTTTTCAAGATCAACCTCTCGGGATACCCATTCTCAATCAGAGACCACTTGATAAAAACCAAATTTTTCAAATGAAACTCAACATTCGAGAGTAAAATCGCTCGATCCACTAAATTACAAATAGTTGAGATCTTGTGTCCCTTGGTGTGATGAGAATAGTAATTTAAGTACCTCCCAGAAGACGTCGGCTTCCGGTACCAATCAACATCAATTTTCCTCTTGCTTCTGATAAGAGTGACCTCCAGAAAATTTATCCTGCAGTTCTCCTCCCTCTCCAGCGTGAACTGAAGACGTTTGTGGTACGAATTAAAGCAGCACAGAATCGAGTTGATTTTGTCCTTGGGAACGAAAGCCAGGACATCGTCGACGTACCTCGTGTAAAAATAGACTGGAAAATCTAATCTCTTCATGCAGAAATTCTCCAAATCCTGGAGAACAATTTCAGCAATGATTGGGGACAACGGAGAGCCCATGGCAGCTCCAAAAACCTGTTGATACTTCACATTGTTGAACTGAAATGCTGAGGCGTTGAAGCAGAGCGAGACAGCCTCGATGAACAGATCTTGACTTATCTTCGTGTATTTTCGAATCAACTCCCATCGCTTTTTGATACCTGCAATCACGAGGCGAATTGGAATATTCGTGAACAGTGATACAGCGTCCATCGAGATCATCGCAAAGTCCTCGGGGAGATTCAGACTCCTGATTTGTCGGACTAGGGTGAGACTGTTTGTAATTGATGTTTTATTCATGGTGAGATTCACCTCTTCCTTCAGGCAATCGGTTAAAATCTTCTGTATGTATTTGGCGATGCTGTAGGTGGGGGTCCCCGTGAAGGAGACGATCATCCTGTAGGGGACATTCTTCTTGTGAATCTTTGGCTGTCCGTAGGATAACGCTATGTTTCCGTTTCTTGACCAAAGTCTGTGTTTGTCAGCTTCGAAATGAAATTAGGAAGGGAAATTAGTTGGTGTGTGCAAGGAGGTTCATGCGAAAGAGAAACACGGCGTTGACAGACGTTGTGAAGAAAAATTATTTTCATCATTCTGTGCGAAAAAGTAACTTTTTAGACACGCTTCGTCTGCCTAAAACGTCCCAATTCCACATAGTGTGATGGAAAATATAATTCGATACTCATGGGAACAGTATTTTTTGCCTCGTGTGAGGTTTATAGCACGAACTGAAGGCGAGTGATATAATCCCAAGAGTCAAATAGCTATTTTCTACGCATATTAAATTTCTGTTACAGTTTTCTGAGCTTTTCACTGAATTTTTTCATCCCTTATTGATACATTCCATCTTTTTTGCAATTGAATATATTTGAAGGGTTAATAATTATTGGGGAGAATTTTAACGAAAAAGAAGAAAAATCGGCAATTAGTTGTACATCGTTAAACTAAAAACATATTGGCTCATGAATCGTGATTTTTCAAAGTAATTTTGAGATCCAAGTTTCTCATCTTCAGGTATGAAATCGTTCGATACAATTGGCTGGAAGAATAATTGGCTCAGTTGGATTGCTATTTTAATTCCTATAGAAATCGTTCTATTGAAATTTCTCTCATTGACATTTGTTGGGATAAATTTGCTGAGTTCTTGTATTCGCTCAATTGAAAATTCAAATGATTACTACTTATTGAGAGGGATTTTGCAAAAAAAAATCAATTTTAGAGCTTAAAAAATTGAAATAATGAAATCATTGCAGAATATCTAGAAGTTTATTTGCATGAATTGTCGGAGCTTTTTACTGAATTTTTGTCATTCTCATTGGAAAATTCTGAAAATTATCAATTATTCTCAATTATATTTACAAAAAAAACAAAAATTTTCAATCCTATTTTTAAACGATTTCCAATGGCTCAAAATGAAAAATCAAGTTCAAACATTAAAAAAAAATCAAATCATAAAATCCTTACAGAATATAACTCATGAATTAAATACTTTTTCGAACTAATTCTCGAGTTCGAATTCCTCACCTTCAGTTATGAAATCATTCGTGTACCACTCCAGGACTAGTCTATTAACTCTCCTCTGAATCTTAGGGGTAGGATCATCTTGAATGACCGTGTAAGTCGTCGAATCCCCCAGTAAAGCCGACATTTTCGAAATGTACTGTTCCCTATTAACAGCCACAGTGATGTTGCCCTTGTCAGCTTTGAGAAAAAGAATTTCTGGATGAGACTTCTTGAACTCTCTAGCTGATTTTATTTTCTCCATCAACTCTGGATACCTCGGGGGTCTCTCCTGCCTCATGAAATTCGAGATCACGTCCACACAGATCGTGCGAACCTCGTCCTGCTGATCTTTCTCGAACAAATTCATGTTGGATTCCAGTGTCGCTATGATATTGTGCACTGGGACGTCTTTCCTACGGATTATTGGAACTCCGAATTTTTTTCCCAGGCAGGCGACGTCTAGGACGTCATCTGGGATGTATTCCTCGGTCAAATTCACCAGCCACTTCTCGCGAATCTCTCGGGAGACGCAGGGGAAATGAGGATTGAATGACAGATATGAGTGAAAGAATCGGGTTTTATTTCTGTACCAGTAGTTCCAGGGGTTAAATCTGTATCTGATGTTTTGAGCTTCATATTCATTGGAGCCACAGAGGTCTGGTGGCATGACGCCAATCACTCCTTTATCTGCGGAAATGATATCGTCTCATCACAGAATTTTGGCCGACGCAATTACCTATGACACACAATGCACTGAGAGAAAAACGAAAAGCTTTCAAACAAGTCTTGGTTGGGCTAACAAAATCGTTAGTTTAAAATTACCAAAAAAATAATTGTTTGGCTCGAATTGGAAAGTCTCAAACATGAATAATAATAAGTGTACAGCAAAAACGAATGTCTGAATTTTACACAGCCTTTGGAGACATTTTTCAGACGCTAAAAAACGTCTGAATATATGAAAATTTATCGGAATTTCAGACGAAGAGGTACCTAACATCTCAATTCATGTTTCAAATTCAGATATTCGTTTTTGATGTGTGTTCTGTTTTTAACAACAACGAAATATTTGGCTCAAGAGACGGATCATTCATGCAAGACGATGACTTTTTAGGATAAAAATATCTTTCATTCCGGGAAGTATATCAGGAAGTATTTTATTCCAAAATTACAAGATTTGCGTCATATCAGTATTATTATTTCATTTGAGAATTAAATTCTTGTCTGTGATTATTGAATCGCCGAAAGGACGATTTCATATAAAACGAGCATTTCCCGGGAGCAAAATACGCATGGCAGCATCTAAAAACAAGAAGTAGTGCTAGAAATTACATTTCTTGCTTGCACAGAGAATAAAATTTTTTTGACAAGACTAAATCTAATTTTGTAATAAAAATGTTCAAAAAAATTATTTTTCGATCATTTTTAACGAATGATTTATTTGGCACAAGTAAGACTTGTTTCGTGACTCTGCTGTTTTTCTCTCAGTGTGGAGTCCCTCTCTTTTGAAAAACAAACAGGACGAGAATATTCTATAGAATTAGATTTTTCTATTCACTTTATTCTATTGAGATGGTTTCTATACAATTTCCTCGGCTCAAATTTTCCCATTTTTTGTTTGATTTTCTTGATGAAGAGAAAAGAAAAATAGATTGAAAAAAACTTGAGCCGTGGAAATTCTATAGAAAATATTTCAATATAATAAGTTCTATAGAAAAATCGAATTCTATTGACTTTTTCCACAGAATATTTCCTATTGAACATTCCAATAGAATCGGCCAAAAACTAATAGAGTTGAATAGAAATCCAATGGATTTTATTATTTACTAGCGAATTCGCATTAGAATCCAGTGCGCATTCGCTAGTTTTTTCTATTAAATTTCTTCGTGCGTGACCAAATGTGTCAAAAAATGGAGGAACCGCATTGTGTGTAATAGGTAATTTTATCGAGTAAATGCTGGATCGTTGTTGAAGTAAATCCATTGAAATTACTCACAGTATCGGACAATTGTCGATGGAATTTGTTGAGTTTTCCGAGGGAAATACGGTTTCCCATTGCGATTTTTTTAATTCTATCCGTTGTCGCCAGCACCTATGTTTATCGTGCGATTCGATTGGATTGAGGAGTAGTACTGAACAACGTCACTTGTGAATAAACAATAAACATTCGTTGCCGCACAGTTGAACTATTGTTGTTGTTTAATTCAACTGTCAATTGCCGTTGATAAACACGTGAGAATTAACAGTACGTCACGAGTGGACACTGAGCTATCTAGTACTGAAGGCGGGACTGGTGTTGTTATTGTGAGGATAAACAGAATTGACTTTTCGTGTTGTGGTTTCAGTTGAGGTACGAAAAACCGAAAAATTGGGATTCGCATTTCATGTGGATGTTGTCTGTAATGACGAGTAGGCGAGACATTTTTTTGGGAGGAGAAGATTCATTTCCTCCTTTTTTTAAACGATTTCGATTGAAGATTTATTCTTGAAGAATGAAATCGGCAAAAATCGCAGTTTTTTCGCTATTCATCTGGATTTTTCCTCAGATTTTTTGCTAGTGGATCATCTTTTTGTCGAAATGTTCACTCGGTTTTGAAGGAATTATTGAGATTAGTTTCCTAAAATCATCAACGAAGTGAATTCTGTTGTCTTAGGTCAGACAGAAACTTTTTTTTTCACAAGGAGTTTTATTTGGAGATGTTGACAGGTTGATTTCTCATGTATTTTTTCTTGAGTTGCTAGAAACTGGAACAATATGATTCTCATTTCACATGTTTTTTGGAGATTTATTCTTTTCATTTTCGTAACGGTTCCAAACTATCATTTTAGTTTAATCATCTGGGAATGAAATGAACAAAATTCAGTTGATTATTGACCTTTATTTATTATTTATCTGCATTTTTCTTAGACTTTTCACAACTGAATTATTAACTTGTCGAGATGCTCATTCAGTTTATTACAGCTAGTAAACTTACATCTTTAAGGAGATGCGACCTGTTCCTTATCAGGCAAAACCTCTTTTTTTAGCATAAAGAAATTTGATTTGAGGACAACGTTGATAAATTGACATTTAGTGTTAAAGTTTCACTTTCAGATACGAGAAAACGAAAGATAGTTTTGAATTAAAATTGTGGATGTTTCTTCTCAATGACGACTCCAGTTATTTCCTTCACTTTTGTGACCGTTTCGATCGAACTTCAGATTATCAGGAAATGAAATAAATGAAATTGCCTGAATTATTGAAACTCATTCGTTATTTATCTGCATTGTGCCCAGATTTTTCACTGGAGAATTATTATCTTGTCAGAATGGTCATTCAATTTTGTTAAAATAAAATTGTCACCTAATTCAAGTCTGTGCATTTCATCACACAAAAAAAGATTTACTTCCAAACATGAAAAATTTTGACTTGTAGAAAATGTGTAAACATCCTTCAATTCGTCTCCGTCCATCACCCACGGGTTAAATGATTAATTCAAGAAAATGAACACAATTTCAGGTATACAATTCAAATTATGCAATATTTATTGCTTCTTTACAATTTCTCATTTTCATACAATAATAAAAATACAATATCGATTGTACTCCAATGACAAAATACCATCTTTCATAAACATTTATAATCATATCAATGGAAAACTTCACACGTGATAATGATTTGTACTTAGAACGAAGAGATAATAAAAGAAAAATAATTAAACTAATCTATTATAAACCCATTCACCGTCAATGAAAGTTAATGGTTAAGGTGATAGTACTAAAAGTAAAGTAAAGAGTGAATTTTTTTGGTTCTTTATGATATTTTATGAATAGATGGAGTTCTTCATGATATTTTAAAAATAAATGGAGAAATCTTAAAAAATGATAACTAGAAGTTTATCGTTTACTGAGTTTAGTTGTGGATTTCTTCAACTGTTTATACTTCAATCGGCGTTTTAAGATAACAAGAAGAGCCGATAGTCGATCTCATACCAAATTCCTCACATTTTCACGTTATCATCTCGCAATTTTCGGCTTTTAAATTAACATCCATTTTTTTATTCAGTCTAATAATAATAATGACAACCATTTCCCGAATTAAGGCTTAATTTTTCTAGAATCCGCTGGTTTTTGAGTTGACCGGGAATGTAAGCTGAAAAAATAAATGAAAAAGTATTAATAAGTGTCCTTCAATGCATCAAGGGCTGTCTGCCCCTAGTATTTTTTTAAATGTGTTTTCTCATGTATTTAGAATGTAATTTTGGAAAATCCGATATATTTTCTCGTTATATCTGAACAAAATACAGATATTCATCATCAATATTGAAGCAGAAATCTACTGTTTTTCGTATTATCCATGAGAATCCATTAAATTTTGTTACGAGTTTTAAACTTTCATTTTTTTTATAGAAGTAAAGCTATGCAATCAGTATTTTTCATATTTTCATCGGAATTTTTTCAGTGGTACACAAACAGCCTCAAAGTATTATGAACAAACTCTAATTGAGTCGTTGAGTGTGGCAAGAAAAATTAAAATACTCAAGAGAGTAATCATTAATCGTTGATGAATTTGAGGAAGTAGAAGAGTTCATGTTTTATTCCTCACTTGCTCCATGACATAAATTATTTGACAAAAGGATGAGACCCACATTAATTTCCATTTTTAACACGAAATTTTACTTTTTCTCTCTGATTTAGCTCATAAATGTTATTCAAATCTTCTGCATTAATGATGATCGCTAATACTGCTTTTACATTTTGATTTTACTACTTCAAAATTTCCGTTACTTATTGTGATACTTACTAAAGGATAATTTCAGCAACAATTTTTTTACATCTGTGGCAACTGATCAATCGGTGTTGCGAATTTGAAGTCCTCGGGGAAGAGTTTAGCGGCATGTGGATACATGAGTTTGTAGGCTTGTCTGATTGTGACATCAGCCACGCCAGCAACATCACCGATGTCCTTCTGCGATCTCTTCTCCTCAGAAGCCTGAAAGAATTCCCAAAATCCAGAAATTAACGTCTGAGCATTTACATCTAGAGAAAAACGAACAAGTTCTCAAACAAGTCTTGTTTAGACCAACTAATTCGTTAGTTGAAAATTACCAAAAAATTTTTGGTTCGAATTTGAATTTCAAACATGAATAATTGCTCTGTTTTCAACAACAACGAAATACTTAGCTCAAGACGTGGATCATTCACACAAGACGGTGCATTTTCGGGATAAGAACATCTTTTATAACATTGCTGTCATATCATTATTATTATTTCATTTAAGAATTCATTTTTTGTCTGTGAATAGTGAATTGTCGAAACAACAAACTACTATCCCTCGTTTCGTATAAAACGAGCATTTGCCGGGAGCAAAATACGTATGGGAGCATCGAACAACGAAGAACTAGTACTAGAAATTACATTTCTTGCTTGCACAGAGAATAAAATTTCTCTGAAAAGAAATCTATTTTTGCACTAAAAATTTTCAATCTCAAAATCCTTTTTTGATCATTTTTAACAAACGATTTTTTGGCACGAGTACGAATTGATTGAAAGCTCTGCTGTTTTTATCTCAGTGTACCCACTGAATTTTCCGTATATTCACAAATTTCTATACCTGCGAAGCCATGTAAATGGCAGCAGCAGTGACCGAAATGGGTGACCTGCCAGGCACTATATCAATTTCCACAGCCTTCCTGGCGATATGCGTTGCAGCCCTTTGTACCATGTTAGGAAGCCCCAGATTGGCGCAGAATCTTGACATGAAGTCACCGGTTGAAATGAGATCCACACTGGTCTTGAGGGCCTTCAGGATGAGCTTGAAGCATCTTCCAATCTCCTTTTTACTGATTTTACTGACAGCCACGATCTCCTTGAAGGTGCGGGGTACTCCTTCCTGACGACAGGCTATGTACAGACAGGCTGAGGCAATAGCGTCGTTAGAACGACCTTTCAAATTTTTTCCATCGTGCACCTGCTTGAAGAGATTATTCGCACGATCCACGATTGTTTTTGGAAGGTTTATGCGATCTGCCATGGCTGTTATCTCACGGACAGCGTTGTTCAGGGCTCTGTCAGAACTGTTCATCTGTGGATAATTATTCCATTTCACTTATTCTGTTCAATTCCATTAATTTTGGGTCAAAAAAGAGGAATTAAATGACAATTCTATGAGACAGCAGAGGTATTTGCATAGAAAAATGAGACAAATAATGACAATCCGTAATAAAAGAATATTTGCTATTAAATAAATAATTTTGATCTATTCAGATGAAGGATGATTCATCCTTAAATTGAAAAGATCCAGTTTCACTATTTTCTTTTTCGTTGGAATCCTCTTCAACATTTTTAGCTGAGCATTAGGACTTGAATGGAAGTCAACTCAATCTCCCTTGTCTTCAAACGCATCCACCCACAACTCATGGTCAAGTAGAGACGATTGTCGTCTGAATAAAAAACGACTTACAGTACGTCGATTTTGATATTTAGCACTGCCAAAAGCATCGAAGGAAGCAGCACCAGTGCCAGGACCAATCATAGTGGACAGATCATTTCCACTGAACAGAGGATTCTCAGGGCCTCCCACCCGAGATGGATCCACCCCGGACTTCTCGTTACTGAATGTCCTCCACTCTGATCCAACATCGATAACTCTGAGAAAAATATCGCTCGATTAACGATGTTCTCAGGCCTACGTAATATCTCGGGAAATCCAGAGAAGGACGTTTGTGTCTAAATGATTGCATTTTTTATGAATTTCATTTTACGATTTTATGCTTTATATCATTAGCATTACGGAGAGTTATGGATATTGTGCGACGAATCATTCATCAATTAATTTTCTCATTGAACATTTCGTGATTTGTTTAAATAAATATACCAACATGTAAATTAATATAATTCACGATTTTATTCTTTATATCATTAGTCTACCTGGACAGGCAATATAGTTTTAGGAATTATTTACCACTTCTTTTTCCCTTTGGTTTATATTTACATTAGATTTTCTTTTATTTCTATTTTTTATTATTGAAGATATTTTTTCAGCTTTGAAAGGCTATTTGATTGCTCACAATTGCAGCATTGAGAAGAGTTATTTTATTGTTTCAAAACCCGAATTATTATGACGTTCCTGTACTAAAAAATTTCATACACGATTGTATAAAATCGAATAAGGCATACGTGGCAGAGGTGAGGGTATGACAATATAGATACTTTCGATTTTCTTTAAATGTTCATAACTCATTGAACTATTAATGAAATGGAAAAATTTTTATTCCTGAAAAATTAAATTCTTTTTGCAATGCGCGTAAGCTGAGTTCAATTGATAAATTTGTTTCTGAGTTGTGGACATTGAAAAAAAGTAAAGCTCCATATTCCCCCATTCTCCCCTATAACCAAATAAATACTTCAATGAAATACCTGTCACCGACAACTAGGCCACACTCGGAGCAGATCTGATCCCCTGCTCTGTAATCCTCTATCAGAGGAGCATCTGGATGTGCGTAGCAACATACTCTGTCCCCATCGATCCTTTAGAACACAGCAAAATCAGAAAATCAAGAATTGTCACTAACTCATGGTCCTACCTACTCCAAGATATTTCCTCAATTTTCATATTAGAAATTGATAAAAAAAAACAAACATAACCTAGACCAAATCCTTTTGTCTAACGGAGGAAATATTTTTGGGAAAAGAAAGCATTTAATGGGAGAAGATATCATGGAATAAACAAGGGGAGGACATGGAGAACTCCCAGAATTTGCATTTTTGGTACTTTAATTTTACTGAGAAGGAAACTAGCCTTTGAGATGGCGCGTCAAAGTATTGCGCCACTGGAATGTGTCTTTAACCTCTTCCCAGGGGCTATTGTCGATCCCCGGTATGCTTTCATGCCTTCCAATTCATTTATTCTGTTTTTTTACTGACGTAATGATTTCTAATCAACGATAGTTTAATCAGGAAGTAGGAAATTATTGTAATTCACCTTGACATACTGGCCATCTTTCATGTATTTGTCACTTGGATTTTCGTGTGTATAAATAAAGCCACTGGCACTGACACTTTTACCTTGAGAGATTTGGCGCTACTTCGGGTGGACTCGGGTGACGTTCCACTGGCGGGACGATCACGAATGTATGAATCTCGAATCTGTACTTTCCGTTACACGCACGAAAAAATTTGCATACACAGAGAGAAAAATACATGATAATCGGCAGCGGGTCCCTTAAAAAATTAATGTGCTGGGGTAAACTGCCCAGTAGATGGACGCCTAAGAAAAGCGCCCAGTAAATGGACGTTTATTTTTTTAACAATTGAAAAAAAAATTGATCGAAAAAAAATCGTCACTCAGGGGTTAAGAATCACAACAGTTAGTGAAAATTCAAAGCACCAATTCACATTTCAGTATTTTTTTGCGTAATTTCCTATCCAAAAGTAGCTCGTCCAGCTATAGGGCAGTGTCCATCTCCTGGGTAGCTTACCCTACCCACTAGCGATGGGAGCAAACGGGGATCACCAAAACATTCGAATCAAATCAGTACATACACATTTTATTCCATCTTCCCTCATTAATATTCAAGACGGGCTATCCAGAACTCTCAAAACTATTCGAAAAAAGTGAAATGGGTATTTATTTGGTATCGAAAAATGACGGGTTATATGGAACTCATTGAGAAATTCAGTATATTCGATCATCCATGAGTTGATTCCGATAACTCAAGTGACGGGCTATCCAGAACTCTCAAAAGTATTTGGAAAAAGTGAAAAATATATTTTTTTTCACCCGGGACCAAAGTGTCAGGCCTTGAATTTTTTCAGGGGGAAAGTCGACTTTGGCCAAAATCGAATTTTTCCGCCGAGTGAACGTTGATTCCGATGATTCAAGCGACGGGCTATCCAGAACTCTCAAAAGTATTTGGAAAAAGTGAAAAATAATTTTTTTTTTTGCACCCGGGGCCAAAGTGTCAGACCTTGGATTTTTTCAGGGAAAAAGTTCAACTTTCGGCAAAATCAAATTTTTCCGCCGAGTGAACGTTAATTCCGATAATTTGAGCGACCGGCTGTCCAGAACTCTCAAAACTATACGAAAAAAATTTAAAAAAATGAATGCCGATACCTCAGTTGAAAAATCAAAATTACGGGTTATATGGAACTCGATGAGAAATTCAGTATATTCGATCATCTATGAGTTTATTCCGATAATTCAAGCGACGGGTGCTGTAGAAATCTCAAAACTTCTTGAAAAAAGTAAGAAAAGTGAAATATATATTTATTTGGTGTCAAAAAATGATCGATTATATGAAACTCATTGATAATTTCAGTAATTGAGTCACTCAAATCCATCTCATGGCCCTGAAATTCTGAAATTATTTCCGTAGTCCTGTATTCTTCATCCAAAATAACGACTTTCATTCAATACTCCCGCTTTCTCATCACGTGAAATGAATTTTGCTCAACATGTGCATCAATTCCTCTGATTTACCATTACGAAATTCTTATCGAGTATTAATTTGTTTGGAATTCTAGTTATCGTGCGTACTGACAATTTCAAAAGCATAAATATTTTCTTGACCCGACCGCAGGGGACTTCTACCCCCCTGTATTAACAAGAAATGAGCGTCACGTTTGTTGACCGGTTTTTCTTCCGCTGACATGAAAAAATGAAAATTGTGAAATTATCATTCGCAGAAATTCATTTCCAGAAATCAAATCTGCAATTCAATGATTCCGGAAATTCTCAATCATCTTGAAATAATAAAGACAATAAAAATCGATTTGCCTTCAATCTGAAACAAATTGATAGAAACTATTTATCAAGTACTCCCTGGGAAATTACAATTTTTAATAAATAATTCATACACTCGTAAATTACGATAATTAACAGAGACTAAAAATTATTCAAGCATTTTTAAAACGTTATCTCATGGCAACCACAACGTCTGAAAGTCTCCCCGAATGTGGATCATCTCACTAGACGATGACACATAGTCTGTCCAAGCGGCGCGTGGATGAGACAATGATACCACAGACTGAATGGCCAACTTAACTGCAAAATGATAAAATTCAATGATCATGACCAGTTTCAACCGGTTAAACATCACCGGATTTTTGGTTCGTCGTTTTCCATTATCTGGGGGCACATTATCTCGTTCGCGTGCCAGGCGCATGCGAGAACTTTGCTCGCAAAAAGTCTCATATTAACTCCTCATTAATGATCTATTAATACAAAGTGTTTAAAGATTGGTGATAACGGTTTCCTCGAGACATTCTATGTAACTGACTTTTCAATTGCAGGATTGGAAAAATTAAATTAAAATAATGTGGACACATATTTGATGACTTCTGACAGGAACAAGCAACTTCGAAGGAAGATTTAAACGATGTAAAACTCAAATATTATAGTGTTATTATACTGACAATGATTGTTATTCTGTTCAATAGTTAATTTTTTGGTTGTTTTTTCAAATATGTCATTATAATCGTCAGGCATTACTATTTCATGAGTAATTCAGCTGAATTTCAATGATTTTCACCTTTTGTTGGTCACTGTACATGACCCTGCGACCTCGGTCGGCTCCACGGAGATTTTGATTTTTTCTTTTTTTTCAAAACTTATTTTATTTACTCATTTTATTACTCATTTATTTTCATTTTTTTGCTTATTTTATTCTTAGCACAAACAATAAGAATATTTAATGCTTTTAAAAGGAGCAATGATCTTTAAATATACTGCTATGGAAAACCATAATTAAAAATGCAATGTTCAAAACTCGGAACACAGCGACAATTAAACATATTTCAATTTTACTGAGTTTGGAAATTCTGGAATTTTTACTGAAAAGTAGAAATTCCATTTGCTTGTGCAATTGAAGATTTGAAATACTTTTTTCAATTTTTCATCTTGAATTACGTCGTTTACGCCAGGAGGAAAATTATGGGATGAATGCAAGGGAAAGTTACTACCTATCATGTAGTTTGAGTTGTTCGCTCGTAAACAAGAGAGCTCTATCTTTTGTCCTACATTTTTATGCTCTGTGGCATTCTATGTCAAATTCATAAGCTGATTCCACATATCTCAACAAAATCTAAGGAAGAAAGTTAACTATGAATTTATATCTTTGAGCCGACGTACGAAAAAATCTGATAAACTCACCGAATTTGGTAGGAAATTCTATTGAACCTTCTATTAGTTTTTGGCTGATTCTGTTGAGAAATTTCGCAGCTTATCTGCGTTTTTTTTTCAATAGAAATGTGTAATGAAAAAAATTCCATAGGAAAAGTCAATGGGATTGGATTTTCAACATAATTTTTCTGCTCTAATTTTATTTTTTTTTGTTTTTGTTTTTAAATGAAAAAAAAGTGGAAAAATAGAGTGGAAAAAACACTAAAATTTTATGTGAAAATGTATCGAGACGTAATTCTACTAATTTTATTAATAGAAGAGTTTCTATTGGAAAATTGTTCCAATAGAATTTTTTGTCATACTCTCTAGGTTTTTCTATAAAATTTATTTTTGCGTGCCTTGAGCGTAGAAAGTTCTACAATAAAAGTATTTATTGATTTACAAGTTATGTTTTTTTAATTGAATATTAAGATACATTCTTTTAGAATTTTCTCTTTAAAAAATTGCTAAGAAAAACCTAGCGCATTCGCTAACAAATTATATTGGGATTCTATTGAGATTCCACTGGAAATTGTATAATTCCTATAAAAATGATTGAGTATAAATTTTATAATTTCTTTTCAACTGCTTTTTTGGTTTCGCGGTACAACATTCGTTTCCAAAAATTTATAAAATTTGTGCCCAGAGATTTTTATAGAAAAATCGGCATCTCTTGAGTTGTTCCTAACAATAATATTTTTCATCACAATTCTCCGGAAAAATTAACAGCATGACAATAGAATTACGAATTTCATTTTTCATCACTTGTGCGTAAATGGAAATTTCACGCACGTGAAATCCCCGCGTGCGTAAAATCCCTCTTCACACTCATTACAATGAAAAATAGCCTGCGATAGCCAGGAACAGGGGTGTTCGACCCGCGGACGGGTAGCGCTGCACACCCGGAGAGAAATGGTCAGTAAAAATTACGGAACCTTCTGGAAAAATTCCGTGACAGTTCCGTAAAATTTCCTACAACCACATTTCGCTCCTGAATTACGGGAAAGATACGTCAATTTTATTGAATATTTATTTCCGTGCACCTCACACATCAAAAACCATCTTTTCGCATTTGTATCGAAATATCCTATCAACAAACATCGAGCTCAGAGTTCTTCCATTGATTAGTTATTTTTTTAAAAAACTTCAATATCCGAGAAATCTGATCCGTTTTAGTTCCAGTTATTACCTTTTTTCTAATTATTAATAGAATTAATAGAATTCTCCAGTTATTCTCAACTTCTGCGAACAGTTATCCGGTTTTCTAAAAATGTTGAACTTGAAAATTATGAAACGAGACCAAGCAAGCAGATACGAAGACATTTCATCACTATTTCAACGAATTCACGTACGAACGAATTTACTAGAGAAACCGAGCGCATGCACTAAGGAATCTCATTGGGTTTTGATTGCTACATACTCTTTTAAACAGAAAAATTTGATTTAAAAAAAGTGTATTCTTTTCGCTACCACTCATTCTGTTTTGAGATGTTTTTATAGAAATCACTCACAATAATTTTGTTCACTGCATTTTTTACTTTTATTATTAAACAAATCAAGCAAAAGAGCTTACAAAAATTAAGCCACCAATTTTTTTTACAGAATTTCAAACGAATCAGTTGTATAGAACTATCCAAATCTATTGATGTTTCGAGTAAAATATTTTCGATCGAAAATTTCTACTGAAAGACAACCGCCCCGAACAACTACGAAATTTTTCACTGCAACTTCAGTAGAATTTCTCAGCAACTGCACTCACTTTTTACATTCATTTTTGCCACACGTGTTCACTCTAAAAAGCTGATCCCCACAGAGTCCCTGGAATTTATGTGGCAAGGAAAAGCTCTGAGAGCAATGCAGGACTCAGGATTATCTCGCAGTGAGGTCGGTAAAAGTGGAGAGAAAATTATGAAAATTTTCAGAAAAAAGGAGAACAGTGATGCGTCAAAGGTGGACGAAACGTGCTGGGTTTTTTATCATGTAGGGCATCATGATAAGAATATCAGCTTTCTCTCGGACTTGAAAATATCACCAATATCGCTGACCAAAACAGACACGCGTTCGTTGAATTGTTGTTGATGGGAGGGAACAGAGATTAGAAAAAGCCATAGATACTGAATAAAAACTTGAACTGCTTGCGTTCAGGGGTCAGCGCTGGAGTCGGGTGGCAATTATCATTGTTTTTTTTTCTCTGAATCCGATAGGGGGGGGAGACAGGGTGGTTTCTATATATGTTGAACGGAGTGTTTACTTATAAGCAAGTCGAGTGAGGGAATCGAAATTAGAAAGTGGCGGAAAGCTCGTGGTTAAGACAGTTACGATAAAACTCACCGTTTACTCATTACTTCATTTGCATCGCAATGAGTCGCTTTGGTGCACTTGCCGATGGTTCTCTGTCCATCATGGGCAGGAGCTCCAGCTGCCTGGAAGCATCGGTACAATCCTTTGGAGGCAGGAACAGAGAGCGAAAGCGAGTTGCATTCAGTGGGAATGGAAATGGACGGGGGGCACCTGAAGATTTTTTGCGATTGGGGGTGCAGCCTAATCCCAGTGCTAGTCATGATGATGGCAGGTGAGACATTAATTAAAAATTCAGTAGCGAAGTGGTCACGCAGTTCAAGTCGATTTTGGCTATTGGCCAATTTTCAATGAATATCTCGAATTCTAAGGGAGATAGCAAAATTTTTCTTATAATCTTTTTAGTAGCACTCAATTTACTCTGCAAAAAAGGTTATTATGAAAATTTCGCTCGCTCCCTTAAATTCGGAAATATTTCTGGAAAACTCAACTAAAGACTAAATTGACTTAACCCGTTTGACCACTTCGCTGCTGAATTGTGTCACATTAAGGGGAGACGGATGCTTTTTGTCTATATCAAATTCTAGAATTGTGTTTTCGCCGAGAATTATTAATTTTTATCTATGAAACTAGTTTGTTGACTCGACCATTGCATTGTTGAATCAATGAAGTAGTTTTATTAATAATTAAGAAATAATTGCACGAGAAAACCCAATTCTAAAAGTTCATATCGACACAGGGATTTACCAATATGATATCTGGTGGCTTTTTTCTGTCATGAGACTCGGAATTTAGGCTCAAAAAGGCGTATTTTACGGTCAAAATAAAAATGTAAATTACGCCCAAACAAAGCGTCTTGCAAGATTTACTTATGCACAATTTACGGGAAAAAGACATCGTATTTTACGCTGAAAATAACTTTTTTTTCTTTAACGTTACTTACGGGTAAGTAAACGTAAAATAACGAAAAAATCATCATAAATTATGTTTATGTAACCGTCATTTACGAATACGAAATAAACTTCACGCGTAAAATACATTTCAGAAAGCGGAAAAGACGAATTCTTCAACGTAATTTACGTTTAGGTTTTTTGTGAATTTTCTTGTAAATTTTCTTGAAGGTGATAAATTCATTCTATTGAATTTTAAGAAGTTTTAGCTCAATTATTCATATTTCATTAAAAATTGCAGTAAAATGCGACAATTCTATCTCATTTTCATTTAAAACTATTGGATTTTGATTGAAATTTCAAATCCCATGAGATTTCGCCCCTTGAATAGAATTCAATATCACTCTCTTGGAAATTGCTGCTAGATTGTGCATGAAATTAACCAATTAATAATTGAATTCAATTAATGAAAATCTACATCAATAAGTATGTCACGTCCATTAAATTCACTAAATTCATTGAATTAACTAATTAATTCAGTAGCGAAGCTGTAAAACGATTTCACTCAGTTTTGCTCTTAGCCGAGTTTTCGAGGAATATCTCCGAACCTAAGGCAGATAACGAAATTTTCATCATTACCTTTTTCATAGAGCGAATTAAGGGCTACAAAAAAGATCATGATAATAATTTGGCTACCTTCCTCAGATTTCGAGAAATTAATTGAAAACCGGGCAATAGCAAAAATCGACTTGAACCGTTTTACCGCTTCGCCACTGAATTAATGGAATAATCAATTAATTTTGATCTCCATGTCTGAAACGCTGCAAAAAATTATGTTTCCAGAGATAAATATGAAATTGGTGCTTATGGTTACGGCAAGAATAACGTAAAACTCCTGTACGTGAAGCGCGAAGACAAATATCACCACGAAATTCGGGAGTACGAAGTGGACATTCACCTCCGTCTAGGTTCCCAGAAGGACTACCTAGAGGGTGACAATCGTGACATAATTGCCACTGACAGCCAGAAGAACACAGTCTACCTTCTCGCTAAGAAATACGGCGTCAAATCACCGGAAGAATTCGGTATTCTTCTCTGCGCACACTTTCTCTACACCTACAAACACGTAGAGGAAGTCCACGTCAACGTCGAGGAGTATCCGTGGATGCGTCACCAGGTAGACGGTCTGCCGCACAATCATGCTTTCATCTTCAATCCAACAACGAGGAGATACTGTCAAGTGACGCAACTCAGAAACGGTAATTGGAAAATTGGTGTTTGTTCAGACTCAAAGATCGGCTGACCCGGATTTCAACGAAGCACTCACGTTTTTTTTGTTTGAGGAGTGATGAAAATGCACTTCTTTCGCGTAATTTTCTTGAGAATTACATTTTTCGTAACTTTTCCGTTAAGATTCTGTAGTGGGGAAGGAAAACGTGACGAGCGAATTTTCTGTCGTTTGTGAAATCCTGTTATTATATTGAATTGTTTTGGGGATTCATTTTTTTAAGAAAAAAATTCTGTTGACATTTTCTCCTAAAACCATTAGTCATCAAGATAGATTTACACACTGTCCAAATTTCTGTCTGAATTTCTCAATAAGAGATCTTAGAATTCAAGTCAAGTGCCTGAATTCTCAGTATTTCTTGGGAAATTATTAACAAATAGACGATTATGTTTCAGTAAACACTGAATATGCTTATCACATACTTCAGAAAACACTTAATTTCTCTCGAATTCCATTCTGTAACAGGTCGAAGTTTACATTTTGTTTTTCACTGAATAATCTCCTTGCAAGTGGTTATGGGAACAGATATTAAAGGCAACTCATTTTCAAGGTAGATTTACACACAGTTGAAATTCCTATTTGAATTTCTCAATAAGAGATCTTAAAATTCAAGTCAAATTCGTGAATTCTCAGAATCCCACCGAAAATTACCAACAAATGGACGACTATTTTCTAAGAAATACTGAATATACACGTCACATTGTCCAGAAAATATTCAATAACTCCAAAAATTCAATAATTTCATAATTTCATGTGACAATGAGAGAATTCCACATCACGTTAAATACAAAATAATCTCTAAACATTAACGAATGCATAACGAAATTTCACGCTCCGCCGTTTTCTCCTAAAATGACTCTTTCCCAAGACCACTCACAACTATTCGAAATATCGAATAGAATTTTCCACAAAAAGAAGAACTACATAATCACTACAATTCTTCCCCATCTCCACAATGCGAAAAATGAAATGAATACTTGATAATGCACCTATTCACACAAAAGAGAGGCCCGTGAATAATTCCATTCTGAATTTTTCCAAAAATTACCATAAACACAAAAACTCTCCACTCTATTCCAGACTCACCAAGAATTCGAGGTGGTTTGAAAGACCTGCGCGTGCTGAAGACAACACAGAGCTCATTCACGGATTTCATTCAGGATGAATACCGAACATTACCCGATGCAAATGACCGTATTTTCAGTACCGTCGTAACCGCCTCCTGGGACTTCTCCACAGCGACAGGTGTGAATTTCGACAAGGTCTGGGAAACAGTTCGCGCCTGCATCCTCCAGAATTTCGCGGGTCCCGCGAGCACTGGTATTTACTCCCCAAGCGTTCAAAACACCCTCTACCTCGCTGAGAAGTGTGTCTTGGACAAGGTTAATCAGGTAAAAATTCCATGCAAAAACCTTTTACCACTCAATTTAAATTGTTAATTCCTTACATAATGAGTTTAGGAAGTACCTCACTGTTTATTTTGACAACTTCTTCTCCCCAGATCTACAGTATCGAGATGCGAATGCCTAATAAACACTATTTCGACCTCGACTTGAGTAAATTCCCGAAATTGGTGGAAGGAGAAAATAAAGAAGTTTATTTGCCAGTTGACAAACCGTCGGGGATTATCTATGCGCAATTGAATAGGAAGGACATCTCTTCTAAACTCTAACACAAACTCAATTTTTTTAAATACTAGAATATTTATTAAACAGGAATGCCAAAAGGAAAATGTTAATGATTAAGATAATGAGTAATGATCATTCTTTATACAGTATTTTTATGTGCTCGAAAATATCCAATGTAAAAAGTTAGTTGTAAGATTTTTTTAAATAAATTGCTATAAACAATAAAGAACATTTTTTTAAATAATCTACTGGCAATCTGCTTCCCAATGCTCCTGTCTGATGATGGAAATTGAATCTTTTTTTGTCAACAATTAATTAAATTTTTTTAAATACATTTTAATGAATTAAAGCCATAACATATTTCATTTCTACTATATATTCGTAATGAGGTCCCAGATGGTCATGAATGGTGACCACAAACAGACATCGGCAGAATCATAAATTTTAAATAAAATTAAAGTTTGAAGGAATCAATAAGAAATAGTACTCATCAATTTCAAATTATTAAAGTCGTCACTAATTAAATATCAAAATTTCGAGTTATTTTATCAATTAATAATTGAGTTCGAAGGGCTGACGATTATTTGGCTAATCGGAAATCCCTTTTATGAAATTTGGAAATATTTGCCCAGTAGTCCATTTACAATTCCACATTTTCAATTATTAAATTCATAATCAAATTAAATTCTTGATTCTAGCGTTAGAGAAAGGATTGATGGCATCTGATGTTTGGCGATATTCGTTTAGACTGTTTCTGATTTTCCATCTCTTTACATTGCTGTACTCTGATCTCAGTTATTAATTATATTCCGGTATTGCACTCCTCGCTAACTCTCTCACCTAGATATTTACTCTTAGAAAAATATTTTTTGTAAACTTAAAATGTTATTTTCTTTATTTTACTTGTATTGGAATGTATGGAACCTTCTCTGTCATAGGGAGTCCTTCCCTATGAACCCCTATTCTTACCTATTCTTTGTTGAGACAGATGAATTAATAATAAAATAATAAAAAATAAATAAAAAATACAATTAAATTGAAAATTTAAAATATCAATTGTTTTATAATTTTCAAATTTCACCCCAAATATTACTAAAGTTAACGATTGATGCCGATCCCTGATGACAAATACCAGAATAATGTGTGAATCACTAAAAAATCAATAACAGGGTTCACTGTTATTGTCATTCTACGACGCGTAGCGTCCGTGAAGCGCTGCCTTACGGCCGGAATAACAAAAAAGAAATATATATATTTTAATGATAAAAAACTATTACTCATCATAAAAAAATTCTTTGAAGGAACAAATAATAGTAATGATAATTATGAATAATACTTCTGTTATTTCTTTACAAAAATCGCGGCGAAGAAATTTTTATTCATATGTTTGACAACAAAGATTCAATTTGCTTTCTCAAATTTAACAATAATAAGAGCGAATATTAACTTGTTTAACGAATATAAATTAATACAGCGCGTTTCGTAATTTTTATCTAAATCTCCTGTGAAAAATTACGGTACGGTCACTTAAATTTTCTGAGTCGATTCCATAATCGGTGAGCGAATTGTGAGTTCCGTAATTTTTATCTAAATCTCCTGTGAAAAATTACGGTACGGTCACTTAAATTTTCTGAGTCGATTCCATAATCGGTGAGCGAATTGTGAGTTCCGTAATTTTTATCTAAATCTCCTGTGAAAAATTACGGTACGGTCACTTAAATTTTCTGAGTCGATTCCATAATCGGTGAGCGAATTGTGAGTTCCGTAATTTTTATCTAAATCTCCTGTGAAAAATTACGGTACGGTCACTTAAATTTTCTGAGTCGATTCCATAATCGGTGAGCGAATTGTGAGTTCCGTAATTTTTATCTAAATCTCCTGTGAAAAATTACGGTACGGTCACTTAAATTTTCTGAGTCGATTCCATAATCGGTGAGCGAATTGTGAGTTCCGTAATTTTTATCTAAATCTCCTGTGAAAAATTACGGTACGGTCACTTAAATTTTCTGAGTCGATTCCATAATCGGTGAGCGAATTGTGAGTTCCGTAATTTTTATCTAAATCTCCTGTGAAAAATTACGGTACGGTCACTTAAATTTTCTGAGTCGATTCCATAATCGGTGAGCGAATTGTGAGTTCCGTAATTTTTACTGAACATTTCTCTCCATGCGCGAAGCGCGCTCCCTTTCCTAGTAATCAATAAAAAAAGATTATCATGCCCCATTGCCAAAAGTAATCATTATGACCGGCGTTAAAAAGAAATTGGTGTCAGATGCCCTATCTCTTTATTCTCTTATCTAGGAAACTAGATGCTCTTTCATGCCCCACGTTAAGAGACCGACTCCGAGGCACGTAGAGAGAGAGAAGCGGCCTAGGTATGCCTCTTTATCTCCCGGCTTCATACATGATTTTTCAACACACCGATTTCTACACACATCCTTTGGCACTCCCGTCGCTTTGACACGGTGTCTCACCACTCCTCAAACAACTGAATAAAAAGGGAAATGAGGGGGGAAGGTATTTCAGTGAAATCATGGAAATATTTGACTGTAACAAACACACGATGTCATAAGAGTATCGGCACTTGCACACGCTGAATCAGTGGCGTTTTTTCCTCCATCGAGTGATGATCTATGAATATACCTGAAGATGTTTCAACAGTTTTTCTTGAGTTTATTTGTACTCAAGTGCGCCCTCAGTGCCGGGATAAATTCGCATAGGGAGACTATAACTACTTGCGGCGGCGATTTCTCGGGGTACGAGTATACAGTAACATCCCCGAATTATCCTCAAAATTACCCGGAGAATGTCGACTGTGTCTACGTTCTTCGGGGGAGTCCTCGAGCCAAGTGCAATCAGATGTTCAATCTGCAGTTTTTGGATTTCTCCCTGAGACCCTCGGAAAATTGCCAAGGGGATTTCGTGGAGATTGGTGACAGGAGTTTATTCTGTGGAAGCGTTGGAGGAATTCGGAGGTATCCGGGAATGGATAATAGCTTGAGAATTAGATTTCACAGTGGTAAAAGGGGAAATGGGAGCGTTGGGAGGGGTTTCAAAATCACTGTGACGACGTTACCGTGTCCTTCAGAGAGAGACAATTCGTAAGTTTATCAGGATTGAATTTACGAAGAGTATTTCATTCTCAGTTTTTTTCCACATAAATTTTGCAATTTGAGGTTTTTTTCTGAATTAAGAAACAAATTGAGTCAATCTTTCCTCAACATTTCTGTTTTTCATTTTTTCGGGAAATATATAATAATTTTTTGGTATGAAATCGATTCTGGGTGTAATTATGAATATTGACAAATTTGTTGTGATTTAGAAAGAATAATTTTCAGGATCGAAAATTGATTGTTGATAATTAAATAACTAATAATATAAAAAAATTAATCATCAATAATTAATTAATAATTAATTTAATAATAATAACCAGTCAATTGTTAATTGTTGATTGTTAAGTATTAAATGTTTACTAGTGACGGTGTTGATCAATTATGAAAGTTTAAGTGGCCTTGCGGGCAATCAATTTCCATTAATTTGTTAAAATGTCGGGATCAGTGTCGACCTTGCGGCCTCACAAATTGACGAAAATTTATTTACCGCAAGGCCACTTAATCCCTTATAAAAAGATGTATATTTTTTCAGAATTTTAAAAATTTTCAATTCGAGACTTTCAAATAGAAAATAATAAATTTTTGCAAAATGTTCAATATTTTAGTGTTACATGTAGTTGAAATGTTGAAGAGATTGTTCACCAGAAAGAAAAATAATTCTTAAAGCATATTGTTTACAATTCGATTACGTTCCCTCAATAAAAACACGTCATGCTCATGGAGGAAAATTAATCGAATCCAATTCCCCTGATTCCAGAAGTTTCCACCACCCATCGAGATTCGACGAGAACCGAGAGGATAATTTCATCCCCGGAGTGGAGCCACTGACCGAAGAGCCCTCATCCGCTCCCCAACAAATCTCCTCCAACCACATTTACCCAGTCTACCGTCCAGCCTCACAATTCACTTTAGAGGACCACATTCTCTCTAAAAACTTCCAAACAGCTGACAACCCCGTCCTCTCCGTGATTCCACTCGAAACCTCGTCTCCCTCCAGCCCCCCTAAATTATTCCCGGCCAACCCCCCCGAAAAGTCGCATCTCGTAAAAAATGTAAACACTGATTTCCCCCGGCCCGTGAAAATATCCTCTTACTTCTTCGCCTCTCCGGAGTCCGAAGCCCCCCCAAAGCTTCAAGAGCCCTCTCAACTCCTCTCCGAACAACTTCCTCCCACTCACAGAAGAACCCCCCCCTTCCGACAATCCCAAGCAGACCCACTTTCGTCAAATTTCCGAGAAGCCGCAACAGTTTCACCGATTGGCAATCAATTATCCAGATTAGAAGACTTCAACCAATTGAACGATAAAATCGGAATACCAGCTGCTTCTTACGGTCTTCCCGGATCGATAGCCTACCCCCAAATATCTGACCTAAAACCGGGGGAAGTGTTGGACACACCTCGAGATGTCGATTGCTTCGGAAAAGTAAATGTCAACAGCGGCCGAGGACCCTCACTAGGAAATGATTATCCCCGAAATGCTTTCGCCCCCGCAGGCTCATATCCGGCGACAACCTACGGTCAGCCGGGCTCATCCTTCCTCTCACCGAGTAACCCAGCGCCTCCACCACCCACGCAGTATCTGCCGAGTGTCCCGAGGCCGAGTGGCTTCATTCCAACCCAGAATCCGGGCATCTACTTCCCCGGAATTGGAGCGAGACTAGGTCAATGCTGCGGCAGTCTGTTCTCTGGTCAAAGGTTTCTCCTAACCAGCCCTGGATTTCCGACTCTGCTTTACAATGGGAATAGTTACGAGTGTGTATACAACATCGCTCCTCACTCCCAGAACGTCTGTCGTCTCCGCTTGAACTTCAAGTTCTTTAATCTGGGGACTGAAGACTCTTTCTGCAGCGGCGGACACTTGGAGATCGACGGCAGGAGGTACTGCGGGTGTAAGACTGGTCTGAGTGTCGTCTCCGATGTGCCTAATCTCCTAGTGAAGACTATTGGGGTAAGATACATGGGGCTCCCCAGGACGAAGCTGAATGGGTTTGTGATGGAAGTCGTTCAGGAGAGTTGTGGGTATCCTGTCTTGGCCAGGAGCAAGAAGGACGTTGGTAACGGAACATTTGGTCATGATGATGGTGGGGAGAGGAAGGGAACTGCTGTCAGGGTGAAGAGGAACCTGGGGTACTCCTACGCCAAACCAAATATTCCTTTCGACCAGCCTGGAGCACCACCTGGACATGCGGGGGACATTGGACACCTGGGATTCACTTCTTCGACTAGATGTCAGGCTCTGAGCTTCATCGATTGGACTCTGGCTGCCAAGGAGGTGTACCTCAAGGGTGCAAGGTGCACTTCAGGGGGCGGGGGGCGAATCCCAGATTATCCGAATTATCCAGGAGGATATTTTCCTCCTAATTATCCAGGCAATGGGAACGGACTCCCTGGTTACCCAGGTGGTAATCTTCCACCTAACTATCCGGGCAATGGATTTCCTAATTATCCGGGAGGTGGAAACTTTCCGCCCAGTTATCCAGGAATAGGAACTGGACTGCCTATTTATCCATCGAATGGAAATCCAGGTGGCGCGCCAGGCTATCCCCCGAGCAATGGGATTCCCCCGAATTCAGGGAATTGCGAGACCGTTTCAGTCGTCGAAGGAATATTTTCATCGCCGTTTTATCCCAGCCCCTACCCCAACAATGTCAACAGGTGCTGGAGGTTCTATAGATCACCGATAGGATGTAGACTTCAATTATCCTTCTTGGATTTTGATGTGGAATCGAGTCAGGGATGTGTCAAGGATTATCTCAGTATCAGTGGGCAGAATAATAGGTTTTGTGGAAGGACATTGGCTGGAAGTAAAAGTAAGATTACATGATTGATCATTGATTAATGGATGAGTTGCATCATGACAATTGTTTTTTTTCTTTTGAAAAACGAATCTCAGTATTTTGAAGAATTCTTCAAGGTAGTTTATTGTTTTCAGCACTCCTTGGCTTTCCAACAAGCAACTTCATCGACATCCGTTTCATCTCCGATGACTTTGGCACTGGAAAAGGATTTACCATCGGATTCACCCAGCTTCCATGCCAAGTCGAAGCGAATCGTTAATTACTAGTTTATTATTATTTAGGTTAATAGGTTCATTGCGTAATTTTGTACTCAATTTTTTACTCTACGTGTTATACTCAACTCAACATATTTTTATAATCGACGAGGGAGAATGAAATGATAGAGTCAGAGCACTTATAATTAGTTTATTGACAATTTGAATTAAAATCGTTTGACACTTTATAATACTTATCTGGGTATTGATCATCACCTTCAATTATCATTCTGGAGAGGCCATTCAATAGACATCGTCTATACCCTTGATACTAAATTGCTACAATTGGCAACATCGATTAGCAGAAGTTATTCGTTAAACTTTATATTCAGTAAACACGTGATGATGATGTTTTTATTTCGATTAACAATGGATATTGTGCCACCTTGATTGTCCTGACTAGAAATACTGTATGATGTTCATTCCGTCGTCTCTAAATGAGCGTCAGTGAAAATAAAGAAACAACTGGACAGCTGTGAAGTGTAAGCTCGAGGGAATGATCTTCCTGAGTAGGACCGGAAACTTTATTTAGTAAGCGATTTGATTAGCTATTTTGTTGCCAGACTTTTCATTAAACGAAGTTTCCGATCCCATCCGTGATGTAGACTTTTCGGTGTCATCTAAATCATTTCATCTTTCATTAATGAGGTAAATATAGCGCGCCATTACTTCCGAGTTCAACGCAACGGTCGTCTATAAAATTACGGATTGCGAGCGTCAAATCGTGGGTGCAAAAGGAAGAAAAAGGAAGGGTTACTTCAATAGAAAAGAGGTAGAGCAGTTTTACTGAACAATGCTATACTTTTTGAACAACTTCATCCAAATATTTAGTGTATCATGAAAAATATTGCTCTATGAGATGACAATGTTCAGTGAAAACTTGATAATTCAAGGATTGGCTTGAACTTGAAAAATCTTCTATTGAAATTTGACTCTCAGTCCTAGTGTCTCAAGAAGTACGGGGACAATTACTGAAGTCGTCTCTCTCCAATCCATAACAACATGCCCTTTAGTTGACTCCAATTGCAATTTTGAACCTCAGCAAGTTCTCAAATGACTGCAATTCCTTTTAAATTGACAAAAAACGTCTTTAAATGTGGAAACAATGTACTTAATTCATGAAATATTCTTTCCTTGCGTCTCTGTGGTGTCAACAATGTGATGAAATTATATCTTTCTATTGTTGCCTCTAAACTTTCAGATCGCGTTTTACCATGGAATTTTGTTGCGTAAATTCTCAATGAACGTTCGATAAAAGTGTCTACAGAAAGCGCTAGGCTATTCTACAATTTTTTTCGGGGTGTGTACTCCTCCGATTGTAGGATTGAAAGTCAAACTTTCAAGAAGCATATGCGCCTTGGAAACATTAATAGAAGCTTAAGCCGACCCAGATCTTCGATACAGATTCACCCCGCTAATGAATCTACATTCCTCCCCGAGAAAAAAAGGTTCTAAAACATCATCCTTTCTTTGCAAAAGTGTCGCGAGCTATATGGAACAGTAGATTGCCCTTGTTGAGTGAATTTACCCGGAAGAATTGGTGACTTTTGCTCTTAGCGCAGACAACCATTAAAAACGCTTCAGGCCCCTTTTATCACATGAGTTGATAATTACACCCACGATTCTCAGCTCGCTCCCACTCTTCATAAGTTTCTCATTGAGCTGTTATAAATGAACTTAGAGTAATTTTGCATCTGTACTGAGCTACTTTCGACGCCCGAGAAAACGAATATTAGTGAAAACAGTGTTGACAGGCCTGCGACGATTGCAGTAATGAACAGTGCGGGATTTGTTTCCCTGGCGTACGTCATGCAGTGCCACCAGTAATTGATAGACATCCTCGCGCGAAGGTGTGCACAGGTGGGTAGAATCGTAGTCGTAGGTGTTTCGTGATCTATAAGCACGGGAAAGTAAGCAACTGGAGGGCAATCATCACCGTTTAAAGCTCATTATACATTATGTTTTACCTGCCGTTCTGACGTTTCCAGGTGTAACGACTGTTGTATCGCGATCGCTTCAACATAGAGCGAATGTCCTGGTGGTCATCCTGGAAATCGTCCGGGGCGCCGGGATCCTCCATTATGATCAGCGGGGAGTTCCAGGACGGCAGGCGCAGTAGCGATGACAGGTAACTGGACAATCGATTGAGCTTGACTTCCTCAAAATCCTCTGGTATTGTGTCATCTGAAGACAGAAAAAGGTTTTCTCGAAATTGTACTGGGCTGTCATGCTTGCCGTTTACTGATGCTCCAATAAGTCAGACTAATTGGCGCTTGAAGTTTGTTGAAGTGAATTCAGAAGTTGGAATTGGGGAGAAGTTTGTTCGGAGACATTTAGCGAGTGATGGCTTCCGATATCGTTAGGGAGGTGGAATCTGGTGTTTATGATTGATAGTTGAGGAACGAAATTATCTTGAGAGGGAGAAAATTCTTATTTCTAGGAAGATGCTCATCTGTGGCGTTTGATGATGAGAGGAACGAACTTCTTGACTTGGGAATTTAGCTGATAAAACTTCAGTGGAAAAATATAAGTTCTGCAATATCTGCGCGAAAAGTTTACTTTTCGGGACGGTTTAACGGGCGTTAAGTGGTTGTTTTCCACACGGTGTGATCTAATGATGAAATCTACTATGGATTGGCATTAAAACTTTATAACAAACTTATTATTAAAAAATTCGATTTGCTTTTTGCATTAATTCCCGTAAAAATGTGTAACTTCTCCTACACTTTTAAATAGATGAGAGACTTTTAAATAGTTTGTTCTTGGAAAAAGGTGTATAAATACTGATTTTTTCTAAGAATTCTAAGAATTCTTGCGCATTAGTGTTTAATTTTTTTCCGAACTTCATTTGCTCAGTTTATTTCTTTTTGTCTTTGGGGAACTACATCCACGTAGTTTATTAAGGTAGTATTAGTTGGACGACACGGTTTATTATTTTATTAAGGTAGAGTACATTTAACAGAGAATCGAACGATCAGGGAATTCTATTAACGTCGATGTATTTCAGTGCAAGTGTAAATGAATGTATATAGATTGACGATATGTGTCTGCGGATTTCATCCTGAAAATCCTTTTAAGAATATCCTCACGTAGGTAACCTTTTTGAATCCTTTCCCCCCGTTATGACGTTCATACAAAGATCACAGAAATAGTCAGAACGATGTAAACGATTTCGATTCAGACTTCTATAATGAGAATGTGGAAGGGCATTCAGTTGGACTTCGGAAAACTTTACACTGACAATATAATGACAATGTAATGTCACCAGAGGGGGAAGATCTTCACCTCCACGTGGAATGTTGTTATTCTTAAACTGGTAAAGTGCCCCTAAACTGCATTCTAACTAGTTTCAATCTGTTTGCTGTGGGGGCTTCATTCCTCTAGGGATTACAGCTGGAAAAATCAGTTCGGATATTATCACCTGGATCTTTCCACCCACGAAGTCTCCTACAAGTCCCCCATTAGACAAATCGCATTTTACGCACGTATCGTATGCGCCGAGAGGTGAATGCAGATTATGATGAATGAATAATTCATAAAACGATCAACTCACCTAATTGATCGAAAACAGCGCCATCAAATCCACCGAACAGTGGGTTCTCCTCTCCACTCAATACTTGTGGATTATATCTCGCGAGTTTATTCAAGTTTGGTAAATCACTCGTGTCGCCAGAATCAATTTCCTGTAATCGTTGGGGGAAAAGTTTTAAGCTGATGAGATCCTTCGGTTGGGCCATGCCTCCGGAGGGAATGAGCATTTCGTTGTGACGATCGGGTTTCGGGAAGTCCAGGGGCTCCGTTCTGGAGGTGACAGTGTGGATTAGGGCCAGGTAACAGGTAACAAGAAGAAGACTCCACATCTGAATAATAAAAGTTTAAATGGGAAATGTAGCACAATTTGCATTTGAATTAGGGTTTAATGGTGAAACGATGGTATTTGTAACAATTCTTGGGTGAAATTCCTGGTAAACTTCTGGGGAATTTTTAGGAAGAGACAGGTTCAGTACAATTTGAAGGAATTTCCTCATTGAAAATTCACAATTCTATGGAAAAGTCAATGGAAACTGTAAATATCAATTAAATTGATTAAAATGTGTAAAATTCGGTGTAAAATTGAAAATAAATACTCAAGTTTTTATAGAAAATTCAATAAAATTACGGAATGTGTGACTTCTTGCCGCTTTAGAATTTGAAGTTTCATTGAATATTGCATAAAATTACTAATTTCCTCATTTTTCCTCTCTCTCAAACGAATTAAATGTTCTCTTGAAAGTTACTACTAAACTGACATTCAAATTTCATTTCTTTTGTAACTATGTACACAAGTTGAAATAGTGTCTTAAATTAAGACGCACAGTCGTTCATTAAAATACTTTTGTCTCCATTTCCACGACCTTTTCAGACAAACATATTTTAAAAGAAAACAAACGTGTCTTGAATTACGACATCATTGTTTCCTGTATAATTACCAAAATGAAAATGTTTTCAATTGGGCACTCAACATTTTTAAATGTGAGTAATTGCTCTGCTGTCATCACTGAAATGTTCACAGAGATAAGCAGAGTTCGGCATAATGTCGGAGTGAAATTATTTCATTCATTCATTAAATAAAAAATCAGTCAACTGTATTGTGCAATTTTTACATTTTTATTGAATTTATATAACCCGACGACCTGGCGCAGTGGGTAAGAGGGTTGCCTCACATGCGAGAGCTTTCGGGTTCGATTCCCGGTCGGGGAGAATGGTGATGATCTAACCATTCAAAGTCTTGATCAAGCGGCCGCTACAATAGATCTTGATAGATTTAGGTGGCATAGGGCGCTTTGTGCGGCTAGTCGCTCCATTCTAGTATTCTATTGAATTTATCATAAAAATTTTCAAAAGTTTTGCATATTTTATAAGCCACTAATTGCCTTCGAAAGATTGACGATTATTTGATTGATCTAAAAAATCAAGTTCGGAAATTTACAATTAATTGTTTAATAGCTAATTGAATATTTCAATTACTTTCAAGAAGATTAGTGAATTTTAATTATTTCAAGGTAAACTTCTTTTGAAATTACTAAAATGCAGTGATTTCCACACAAACTTGTTCTCTAAATTTTAGTGGCTAAATTCATAAAACGGAATTCCGCTTAATGTCAAATATCCCCAAAGGTTAGGGATAAATTTAAAAAATCTTTCTGTCAAAGTAAGACAACGGGCTGAGCCCAGATAGAATCTAAATTAAAACCCAGTGAAACATGAGTTGGCGCGGAAATGATGTTTGGAAATTTCCCCCGTCGTCTGTCGTTAAAAAATCAACCTACTCTAGCGTTAAAAGCGTTGAAAGCGACTGCAAAAATGGTACGTCTCTCCAATGAAACCCTAAAGGGTTTTTCCCCACCCCCTTGCATAGTTAAAAGTCAATTATAGCTTGATGATGATGTTTCTAGTGACGGCGTTAATTACCCCATTGAAACGCCCACTGTGTTGAGCACGTTGTTTCAATATATTTTGCGGATGGAAATTGTGCTATTGACGGTCTGTTTATTCGAGTAGCTACTTCATCAGAAGGATGGTTACATGTAACACGACGTCACTACTAGTCAAATATTGATCAAAGCCGATATGTGAACCCTTCGTGACTCAGCAGTTGATTGAAGCAGTTAGCTTTAATTAGATATCCCTCAGGAGTAGAGATTAAGTAGTAACTCTCGGGTTAATGTTGCAAAATGCAATTAATTGTGCGACGAATCAAGTTCTCTCCGGTGAGTACTCACTGGATTACTAACGAGACAATTTTTTTCGTGTCCTTCACAGCTCATATTTTCCTCTGGTAATCGTTCGGACGTATATATTTTCTTACGTGAATGGGTTCTTCAGAAATATTCTTGCGAGGTAATCCAGGGTGTTATTTCTACTGGGGGTCGTAACAGTTTCACTGATTTGATTTTTTCAACGTCTCCGGGAATTTGCGTGACGGATTGCCCGGATAGTTGAACTGACTTGGCTGAGATTTACTCGGGACACCGTTACGGCGGAGAGAATTTTTATTTTACGAGCTAACTTTGCTTATTTTTCATTGTTGCAGAGAAAATTGTTCGGTTTCTGGGGAAAATTGTTTGAGTGATGGAAGGGTTTATGAACGAAGTTACGATTAAAAGATATGGTTTATTGAGAAATGGGGAAATTTTTCTCCTGTAGCCACTTCGAGAGAACAATTTTAAGAACCGGAAGGTGAAGATTTTCAAAAAGCATTATTTATATATATTTTCTATACGTTTAAAACCAAATTTAAGTCAATCTATTGAAAATTGCGTCATAAGGACACTTTTGAAAATTTCGCCAATGAAAAAATCAAAATTTATTTTTACATTAAAAGTGAAGTAGTAAAATCATCAACACGATAAATCAAGGCCTCTGAGACTTTGAAATTTCAATGCAGTCTCCCCTTAATTGAAAAACGGAGAAATCTTCAATAGAATAATTTATATAAAAAATGAATATATTTTGATGTTTCTATACTATTTATTCTTTAACATTGTGTCGATGGAAATTTCTCGGGACTAATTTTCAAAATTGTTTTGCCTAATTTTTTTATTAACACAAGAAAAAAATACGGAAAAGTTCAAGATTTACGCCGAAAATTTCTACAGCAAATATCTCAATAGAATAAGTTGTGTAGAAAAATCAAGATATATCAATTTTCTTCCATTAGAAATGTTGATAAAAAATGCGGAATACAAATACAATTTATAATCATGTCATAATGCTTCATTTGGATAATTGAAACATTTTTATTTGAATAAGTATGAATTTATTAATAGCCAATAAAACTGGTGTTAAAATGAATATAATAATTTTAAATAAAACATTTTATGGCTTCAACATTCAAGTTAAAAAATATTTCTCTCAAAAATCGTGTTTTTAAATTTTTAATTGAAATAAAATTCTACAACAAATCGCTGTAACCTTCTGATGTAATCGAGAGCCATACCGAAACAACTTTAAAATTTAATTCATCTTAACCGAATTTTTACTCGTGTCAAATTAAATTTGACTTTTATTCTACCACTTTCATTATACCGACTCTCAATTTTTACTATGTTCAACACTAAATTTTAATGAAATTGTTATTCATTTCCACAGTTTGTATCAAGGAAGTAGAATCATAGGAAATGTGAAGAAACCATAAAGTACACTAGATTATGCTCATTTCGCTTATAATTTAAGCTCAACTTATAAGCAACACATCGCGAATTGACAATAATCTAGAGCAATTTATTGTTTTCTCGATTATTATATACAGTATACATATATTATATACAGTTCTCGATTACTATATTCACACACGGAGAGAAATGTTTGGTAAATATTACTCACAGTTTGCTCACCGATTACGGAATCGACTCACAAAATTTAAGTGACGGCATCGTAATTTTTCACAGGAGATTCAGACAAGAATTACGGAACGCTCTGGAAAAATTCCGTGACAGTTCTGTAAAATTTCGTACAACCACATTTCGCTCCGGAATTACGGAAAAGATCCGTAATTTTTATTGAATATTTCTGTCCATGCACAGTAAAAAATATTTTATATTTTTTCCGTGCGCTGTGCCCTACTCCACTCAATTCAAAATCCAAAACTATTTTTCAATCTTGTAAACTTTCCCGTATGATAAGACTTTTCCATATGGAAAAACAAAATGAAAACCCGGAAATGAAAGCCGATAGTTTGTCGTACATTGTTGGCCTCTGAACTGCGGTGGAAACTCGGGAACTGCTATCGGGTAAAACCGACGGAAACTTGTTGCTCGCTGAATGCCTACCCCACCAGGCAATGCTATCAAAGCCCACTTCTCTCATTCCTCGGTTTAGACCTGAAGGCTTCCCACTGGGTGGTCGTGATACACTCGGTCAAATGGGTCACATGTCCATGGGGGTGGACGCCAAAGAATCATAACACCCGGCTTAAAAATTGTTCATTTCTTTTCACGCCATGAGAGAGATTATTCTCAAAAATAATTTTTTATGAAGCGAGGAGAAAAAAAGCCTTCAAAATTTTTTCATTTATTATTTCGTGAGGGTTTTCGAAATGAGTGGGCGTACAATAGAAATAAATAAGTCAAGAAGATGAATATCGAAGAAATGCAAGAACTTCTGGAAATAGTTTTACTATTCAAACTTTGGAGCTCGAAATTTGATCTTTCATTTTGAGCCGGTTGGAAACATTTTAACATTGTGGAGAAATTTGAAAGTCGACTTGGCAAGGAAATAATTTCTGGTCACCTTTAACCGCAGACAGAAAAGAGTTCATTAAAATTTTCGGAGAACTCGTCATTGAAAAATCACCATTTGAAAAGTCACCATTTTAAAATAGGGAAAAAACCCGGAGAGAAATTCTCTAGAAACAATCTAGTGCTAGTACGGGAAAAAAGCGCAAAATGACGGGTAGGGAAAAATTCCTGTGCTGGTCGAAAAAATTTTGATTTTCAGGGACATGTCACTGATTTCCAGAATCATGTTAGTGATTTTCAGTGACAAAATCACGAATTTTTCGAGTAATGTTGCTGATTTTCAGGAGTTATCTCTAATTTTTGGGAATCGATCGCCAAATTTCAGTGATAAAAATCACTGATAATGGGGTGAATATCAGAGAAAGGTCTCATGCTTTAAAATATTTTCGTACTCAAGTATGCTTTTGTTGCACATGAACTCATCACATCGCGCAGAAGAATCATCAATCTGCAAGTATTTATTGTTTTCATAATTTTTTTAATGATCTTCCAATGTTTGTGATAAATGAGAATTTATTCCAGTTTCGTGAAACGCAAACATTCTGAGATTTAAGGATATCCAAGTACTTTGGCTATTTTTTTCTCCAGTGAATGCTTTTCCTTTTGAGCCTCGTTTGATTCTAAGCTTCCGGACATTTTACACTGATTTTCACATTTAAACTTTGCAGGTCTGAATTTGAATCTCGACATTAAACCGCCAGAAAACATTTTAAAAATCTGAAAAAATTGAAAGTTTACTTTTGGAGGAAGATTGATGCAATAATTTAAAAATTCCAATTTTCGAAAATGACATTAACATTTTCTATAATTACATTATAAACAATCAATTTTCACCATAAAAATCATTGGTTGAGAATCTAACTAATTTATTCACGTTCAGAATTTTACCAGAAATCGATTGAATGCCTAAAAAATAATCTTTCCGAAAGTTTAAACAGTTGTAATTTTTTATTTATAAACAACGAATGTTTAAAAAATAATAATTTTGTGCAAAATATAATTTAAATGCCGCTGAATATTTATGATTTTGAAAGCGGTTGAATGTATAGCATGGTTTGTACCAAACTGTAACCGACACTTAAATATCCTTAAGCCATTAAAAATAATTTACTTCTCTCAAGTAAATATGTTGGAAATTTTTCTCACATATGAGGAAATATGAGGAGAAAATGAGGAGTAAATATGAATATTCCCACCTATGAGAAAATTTTTCTCTCAGCATATTGACATTCTAAATAAAAGTCAAAAGTCATGCATAAAATAATTTTGCATTTTAACGGTAAATTGAAATTGAAGTTTCCCTCGATAATTCACAAATTCATCCTGAATTTTATTTCGGTCTCTGCCTGAAAATAATCACAATAAAAACCAGATTCTACTCACGTTTGAGGGTTAATTCCCTTTGTGAATGAAAAATCCCTCCAACTAACGATATCCCTGTATCGTCGAAAATTTCACAGTACCACCGATTCTATAATCCCCTCAATAATCGAATAATCCGCACAATCCGTTTAGATTAATTCAACGCTCCCAACAGTTCAAAGGAAAAGAATAAATTTCCTATGTGCGCACAGTGCAGCAGTCACGTGACTCGCTAGAACAGTGACCGGTTCGGTTGCCAAACGCTCAAGTTCTGACGTCGCACAAGCGTCGCGACGCCTTATATAGCATGTGCAACCCCCGCGAGACGAGCGGGCAGAGGCGGCAATCACCTCGACATCTCGTTACAATAATCACGATGTTGATCCCTGCCCTTTGTTTCCCCAGTTTTTTCGAGTTAAATCAGTTTTCTACTCAAAGCATTGATATTGCTATTTATGTTTGTTCGATCGAGCGAGAAAATATTTGAATCCTGAAATGACAATTTTTCATTGAGAAATGTCGGCGAGAAAATTGTTTTTCCTTCTCACTTTTTCTATTCTCCAATTGATGAATTGATTATGGCAGCGAATGAACTGACGTACACGGAGGAAAATTATGTAGAGAAATTCTAGTGTTAGCGCGGGAAAAAGGGCGCAATGTGGTAGCCTGGGAAAAATTTCGGTGCCGGTACTGGAAATTTTATTGAGTAGAATGTGAATTTTTCCTGTTCTTGAATGAAATCCCCGGAAATATTATCTTCACAGCACTAGAATTTTTCATAACCAGTGGATTAGGATTATTTCCAGTTTCAGTACTAGAATTTTTCAATGAATTCTTCTCCGTCTCATGAAAAAATTTGTATCGACAAGTCGATATTCCTGCGGTAACAATTAAGCTCATTCAGGTTATTTACGACTTCTATTGTATTTTATGTTTTGTTAAATTACATTCAATCTTAAGACACTAGTCTGTTTCAGGTTTCGATTGTTTAATAGATTTTTAGGTGATATTTCGCAATTGATTTCGTTTTGGAGTTTGTTTTAAGTATCTCTTTACATTTGTCCCCTTGACTGATGAAGAAACTTCAAATTAAAATGCTTACATAAGATAAATTTAACTTGATGAGAATTTGTTTAATTAATTAGATGATGATTGAGTTCAATTCGAATGGAAAATAACGATTTGAGTATTGAGTAATTGAATACTTGAGTACTTCCCCGGGAAAAATTGTTCTCAAAAGTTGAATGAATTGAGTGTTCGGTTGCAACATATCTTTGCGACACGTCTTTAGAATTTATTTCTGGAATGAGGTGCATCGAAAAATCTAAATCTAGCGCTGGGATTTTTTTCACTGAAAAACCTGTATTTCTTACCTGGAATTGAACAGCTAAAGTGAACTTCTACATAATAAGCCATCGAAGGGCTTGAGGAGATTTTGCGTGAGAAAAATCGAATCGATTATAAACGACTAATTACCATGCTCACACAGTTAACCTTCACCCTCCACTGTGCACACGTGCTGCGTGACTTTCTCCTCAGGCACTTGAATAACTTGGCTGGCTGCAGGGAGCTCTCTAATTATTGTGGTTCTCATCACAGATTCTATCGAAATTGTCCCACACTAAATTGAGGTAATTTCTAATGGTGTCTCTCCACCTCTTGTTGTTGAGATTCTACCCACTGAGCGAGAGAAATGGTTATCATTTGTCGCTGGTAAGCCTCCGGGACTCCTCACAAATTTGGATTGATTCGTGACTAATAGGTTCTGGTTTATAATCGAGAATTTCTGGTCACCTATGATCGCAGACAGAAAAGGATTCACTGAAATTTTCGGAGAACTCGTCATTGAAAAATCACCATTTGACGAGAAAAAGAGTGGAAACTGTAAACTTCAGCAGAACAATTTCATGAATTTGAAAATTTTTCTAAAATTCAGATGAATTCAACTGTCAAAATAGGGAAAAAACAGAGAGAAATTCTCTAGAAAAATTCTAGTGCTAGCACGGGAAAAAAGCACAAAATGACAGGTGGGGGAAAATTTCTGCGCTGGTGTTTTGTATAAAAACAAAGGATTTTATTCTACGTTATTTTATGAAATAGCGAAACATAATTTAAAAAATGTTATTCACATGAGTTAATCATACTGAATTTCACAAAGCTGTAAACTGATTCATGACTATTCAACCAATCGTAACATTTGAGTATTCGAAATACTCAAATGAATTTGAATAGATTTTTCAATCTAACATAACGCCCGGTGGCTAGGTTCGTTGCCTCACATGCGAAATGTTCGGAGTTCAAATCCCGGCCGGGTAGAATGGTACGATTTAACCATTTAAAGTATTGATTATCATCGCAGTATACCCTAACCGGGTCGAAGCGATGTAAAATAACGATAAAAAAACTCTAACATAACGTCAATAAATTAATCAGAAGGTTGAAACGCATTTATTATTATTTTTTTAAATTATAAACCCAGATAGATACAATTTTCGGTCAGTGAGAGGCAGACAAGTTCGAGTCCCGCAGTGACTCATAATTGACTAACTAGGAGATAGCTCAGTTCTGACAGTGATAATGATAATACAAAGGCTGGTAGGCGGACATGATTGTGAATGGTGTGAAAATGCATTGTCAACAGGTGTATACCGCAACAAATTACATTTCCAGTCCAGAGAATAATCCTGTTCACTCGCGGTAAGTGATCATGACATTCAATGAATTCCAATTTGGAGTTGGACAAAAGGAGATGATTCGGGAAATTTCAAAACACCCCACTCACTCCAAGGAAATTCACATCAACAAACAAAATACAGAAAGAAAACAATAGGATTCTGTTAAAATATGAATAGAATTTTAATCAAAAGCCTGTATAATTTTTTAGCCTATTCTAATTAGGCTAATTATACACAGAAAAACCTAAATATTAGCTACGTTTTGGAAGCCGTCTTTTATGTTTTCTGAAGCGATTGGATAAAGGTATTTTACGATTTTCTATTTATAAATTGTAATTTTTTCATATTTGTATTTTATTTATACTAGGGGGCTCCGCCTCCTGCTCGCTTCGTGATTTTCATTTCGGTTTTTCTATGTGCAGTTTTTTCATTCAATTTTTATATACGTGACGTGAAGAATTATTGATCTCCCTATTACGTTCCGCGAATCCTGATGAGAACACTATTGAATGTCATTATTGCGTCAAATTGCCAGGAATATCGGGTAATCTGTGACGCACACAACACTAAGGATACGCATGTTGTTTGCCGAGAGAGCACAATTTATTCTAAACATACTGTCCTTTATGAAACAGAAAACCCATCAGTGCTCTTTGATTCATGGCGCAAATTCTCTGGAAATGTGCGCACATGTTGCCTACAGCACAATTGCGTAACTGGGCATAATTAATTTACGATGGGGGTTGTGGTATTTTACATATGGCTCAGCGAGCCCCCAGGTGGAGGTGGAGAGTCGTGCGTCTCCGATGTTATGAGAGCAATTCATAAAAACAGAACGGGAAAAATGGTGGTGCTAATTAAAGTCAACACCTTTATCGAAAAACTCATAACACCGAGTGCTGAAAAGTCAAATAATGATAACAATTTTTTTAATATCGCGAGGATGATGAATGATGGAAGAATGAGGATTAATTAATTTTACTTGGAATTGAAGATGAAAACTTCGTACGTAGTTACTTTAAGCCCTGTATTCTTCGATAACATCTCCGCGGTTTATTCACTCGAAAATAATATTTCTGGAAAATAAACTCGTGATGACAAATATTTTGATCTGGAGTGAATGAAAGGGATGGAAATAATGATAAGAATTCAATTTGGTTTTGAGTTCGCAAAAATTTTTCATTCCAATTTGAACTCCAGCCATTCTCTAAAATTGAATCGTCATGTCATTCAAAACATGATGATGAATGACACAATGTGAAGTGAATTAAAAAGGGTTGAACTGATAACAATCAGTGACAATTAATTACTTCAATCAGGAATGGAAAAAATTATTTATTCGGATCCAATTGTAGCCACATCTTCGAATAACTTGTGGTCTGACCCAACACCAACCACATCTACTTCGAAAAAATTCTGCACTCGGACGAGCCACAGAAATTAAATTAACACTCTCACCAGAGAATTGCCATAGCCCTTAATTTTTATTCGTTTATCAGACAGTCTGACAGTCGTTAATACCCGCAGCAATTAACATTAAAATGAGATGGTGAGATGAGATGAGATGAGATAATGTGAAAAATACTGATGATAACAAGTATTTTAGTTTTGACTGAATGAAAAATTGTTGAAATAATTGTAATCAATCACTTCGATTCAAAATAGAAACCAATTATTTATTCGAATTTAACGCCCCCACATCTCCGCTAAAAAAATCGCCCCAGCCACGACGTGCAATAAAAGTTCACTCAGCCCTCACCACAGAATTTCCACGACCTTCTAAATTTTTATTAGCATTCATCAGAAAGTCGGACAGTCTGTTAACACCTACAGCAATATATCAACATTAACAATGTGAAAAATACACATGATAACAAGTATTTAAAAAATTGTTGAAATAATTATAATCACTCAATTTAATTCGAAATAAAAAAAATATTCCAATTTAACTGCACCCACATCACTTCAAAAAATCTCTCCACTAATGACGTGCGAGAAAAATTAACTTGACACTTTCACTTAACACTTTTAATCGGACAATCTATTAACACCTTACCGCACCATATTAACATTGACAGTCAGACTCAAACGCAGGATAAAAAATATCTGAAGCTTAATTGTACACGAAAATTGGTTGAGGTAATTACAATCAATCATTTAAATTAGAAATAAAAAAATCCTTTATTCCAATTTTATTTACCATTTTTATTCTTCATTCATCAGACAGTCTGACAGTTTGTTAACACCAGCAATAATATATCAACAATAACACTGACAAAAACGCCCATGACAGCAAATATTCCAGTTTTTACAAAATAAAGATCGTCCAAAATAATCATAATCAATCAATTCATTTCGAGATATAAAAAAAATTATTTACTCCAACTCAATTTCATCCCCAACTCTTCAAAAAATCTCCAGTGATGACGTGCGCTAAAATTGATTCAACACTTTCACCACAGAATCTCAAAACGCCCTAAATGTTTATTACCATTCATCAGACAGTCTGACAGTCTGCCACCCCCTTCCAGCAATATATTTACATGGCATCCCCATACCCCCAGTAGTCGGTCCTTCACCCTCTCTGAATAGCTACTTGAAACTCCTCTGAACTCCCTCCCCCCCCCCCGACCGCAACCTCTCGTTCGCCGAGTAAATATGATGTTGTGACGAATTTTCTCGAATGAATAAGCAAGTCATGACTTTCCCTTTATCGACGGGGCCATTATTCCTGCGTTGTTGGTTTTGCTGTTGTCTCGGGTTCACCGACAAGTTCTTGACCCTGCGGTGGTGACGCAGATGACTCATCCTTCTGTAGCTTCTTGTATTTACCATCGTCCACGTAGGAGTAGAGGATACCAAGAATTTCGTGAGCTTTGGCGTACATATCCTCCACGTTCTGTCAACAACAAATGCAGTCAGCGGAAACTTTATCTTTTTATCGAATTTATGATATATTTTGGTTTATTTGGGCGTGATGTACGTGAGATAAAGACGAATAAATGGATCAATTTATTGAAAATGCAAAGAACTATCCAAATACCGATTATTATCGTCGTTTCTATTTTTGGAATGACGTTAACTTCAATTCATGAAAGTTTTGTTGTTAACGTTAGTGTCAGTGTTTCGCCGTAGAGCAGAATATTGAATTGATCATCTTGAAAGTATTCACAAAAAGTTCCAAATTGTTAATTTCCAACAAATATCATGGATCTGTCGTTCTAAAGCTACCAAATATCAACACAAAATGGTACATTTGAGTATTTACCGCTTGCAACTCAAGAGAAAAACTGTAGTGTATTCTTTGGTTTACGGAAACTACAGCTAAAAATAGAAAACTTGAAAATGCTCCTGTAATGAGACCCTTATGTTTGGGTCCTACTACCTGAAGGCTGTCGTAGCCATACGCAAAGGGAAAAGGATACTTCACATTGAGCCGTCAGTGTGGACGCATTAAAACATTCAATTTATCCAAAATTTAAATTAATTGCTCGGTCTCGGTAAATACTCAAGTGAATCAACCTCAATTCAACTAAAATTTATATGAAACATTTATTGCACGTCAGTGCATTTTAAACTATTATTGTTACGAAAGCAATTGATCGTGCTAGTTTTCACTGGAAATCCAAACTTGAAATGATGAGTATCCTCGTTCTTTTCATCAAATAATGCCTCAAATTATATTTAAAACAATTAAAGAATGATAACAAAATCAAACCGAATTCAAATAACAAATCCAATTGAAATTTACATAAAGCTTGAGTTAAACCCAGCTATTAATCACAAAACCAAGAATGAATCTTTCAATTCCTTTCAAAACAATAACAAACAAACAATTATCTCATACTAGTCGTAAATTTTCCTGAGTGAGCTTTATTGTTAGGAGTATCGCCTGTTCTGTGTAGTCAGATTGAATAAATATCGATACAGGAAATATTGACTCCATCTTTCGTCGTCTTATCTAATAATTATTCAACACCTTGAATCACTTTAACATAAAGTGCAGAGGTGAAGCAACCGCAAATAGCAAGAGGGGACCGTATTTGCCCTAATCGAATGAATTAAACTTTGTGACGACAATGCGTTTGCAATGAACGAGCGGGGGAGTATGTATTAATTACACCTACTAATTGCTCAATATTGAACCCACCTGCGCCTCTCTGAGATCCTTTATTGCCGCGGTTTCGTAATGGAGCCTGTCGTACTCCTCCTGAGATAGCATGTAGCCGTTGTCGATGTCTGATTCCGCCTCCTCCTCGCGTTTTACTTCGGCCAGTTCGTCAGCGGTTAGGGGTATCTGAGTGGTAATTACGAGGGATTAATCGCCAAAAATTTTGTATTGAAATGGGTCTGAAGGAAATAGAACTGCGCTTATACTAGGAAATTCTGATGAATGTCTATAAAAATCGTTATTCTGTGAAAAACTACACAAGTTTTTTTGTCATTTCAAGGGATTTTTAGTTTTCGAAGGTCTTTAAACTTTATTTTGTTTTGTTTTTGAATATAAAATCAAATGAACAACTGGAGGATTCATGCATTATTCCAGAAAAAAAGGAAACAGAATAATTTGTCCAGAAAAATCGACAGCTATCCAATTTTTCAAAAAAATGTCCATTGAAATTTTCATTAAGTTTTTTTTTAATAAATTTTTTAATGAAATTTGGGGAGAGGTAGAGTTTTAAGAGAAGTTTTATAGAACGCCAATAGAATTATATAGCAAATGCACTGGGTGTTCTACTGAATTATCTCATACGCGTGCAACTCAAAATAATGAATGATAAAAGTCTAATATTACGTCTTTGTTATTTACGTAACAATTTCAAAGAAGGAATTTCATAACTTTAGTGGCAAACTCCTCCATTCATATATTAATTTCTCAATTATCAAAATGAGAAAAGTAAACTCACTAAAACTAGAAGGAATAAATGATTGTTTCCCATTCTCTGAGAACTTTACCAATTCAGGGGATCCATTCACATTAATTCGCTTCATATAAACTTCAGTTTCCTCAACTCCGAGCTTCTCCTCTGTCTCCGGATGTGGATACAGATTGCGATACAGAGACTGTGCTATTTTGATCTGCTTCGGTGATCTCTGGAAATTTTGTGCCGGAATTTTGAAATTCATTGGATTCAATAACAGATGCCGGGCATAGAAAAGAAAGCATTGATTTTCGGAGACATGCCACTGTTTTTCAGGGATCCATGCCCAATTACTACGGACATGTCACTGATTTTCAGGGACCAAACTCTAATTTTAAAGAATCCGCCAAATTTTAGTGATGTAAATCAGTGATGATCCATCACAGAGTCGGTTATCCTAGTCAGTGTCCAGTACATAGATCGGCATCAATCATTACTTTTAGTAATATTATGAGAAGGTGCTCCTTACTTATGCACCAAAATTTTTTTCCACCATATCATGCACGAGAATTCCTAATTAGACCAGATAAAAACTGTTTTGTTATAATGAACAAGTTTCTTGTCAAATGTTCCATAAAAAGTTGAAGTGTATTGTTAATAATTCTAAGCTACCACAATATCTGTAAACAATTCACATGGTATTATGTTTATAACAAAAAATATGACTGCAAATTGAACTGTAATTGTTCAGAAATGCGGAAATAAGTAAATAAAAAAGAAGGTGCACCTTTGATATTTGAAAATTAATATAATTGTTGGTAATATAATTTCTCAATTATCGGCTGATAAAATAATTCGGAATTTGAAAATTTAAATTGATGATTATTTTCAAAAGTCAAAAAATTGGTGAGTAATGTTAACAATTGACTTATTCCAAATTTGACTGTAACTTTAAAATTCTATTATGCCCATGCCTGGTCCAGTATCATCAATAATTGGCGATAAAGTTCTGAAAATCGGGGACATGTTCCCGAAAATCAGTGACATATTCCTGAAAATCAATTTTTTTCTCTGCGGATAGACTCACTTTCTTCCTCTTTTCCTCAATGATAGCGTCGCAGTATAGGTACAGCTGGAAGAGCGGATACCTGCGGATCTCCACAGGCGCCTCTTGCACGGGTATCAACCGATTCAGTATCATCATCTTCGTCCGCATGAGTTCATTTTTCTGAGAGGGAAAAATAATCATAATCGTCACTCAGAAAGTAAATGAATACAAAGTGAACCAGCAGTGTTTGAACAAATATGACTGGCGTTTCTTTTTCCGTTGGAATTCTCTTCAACATTTGTAGTTGAACAGCACAGCTTTTAAAAGTATTATAATCCCATTCGTCAGATCATACTTTTATCGCCGTGTGACATGACAAAAATACCCCAGCGGTGTGGAAAATTTTACTGTACAGGAGGATAATTTTTGCGTCCACAGATGTGGTTTTTACCGAACGAATAAAAAAATATCCTCCACAAACAGGTATTTTTTCATTGAATTATATTTCGCTCCATTACTATTTGTAAAGTTAAATTTTCCACGATTTTCTAAGTATTTTTTACCCCACTTTTCTCTCTGCGTAATGATTGAAAATTCTTAATGTACAGTTTACGTGTTTAAGGGGAAAAGGGCGAGGTCCCCTAGGTTTTAAATAACAACGTCAATTGGTTCAGCATGACCCTCTTAAAAATTTTCGTCTGAATTATCTGTGCCAAATTTCGGAAATTTTTATCACTGAAAAATCAAATATTCCATTGATTTTCTGTTCAATTATTCTGTGAAAATTCAGAAAAATCAGGAAAATTCAGGGGAAAATTGAATATTCATATCATTTTGTTTCTGAATATTCATATTCGATTAAAAATTCAATGAAGTGGTGAAATTTCCATCTCACTCCCACTAAAAACTCATGAGTTTCCTTGAATTCTACCTAGAACTTGAAATTTCACAACCATTTTTTCCCTAAATCCGATTCAATGTCAATCTCATGAGAATTACTATTATATTTTTTATGAAATTTCGAAAAATTTCCCAGTCTTATTTTTCAAGTGTTATTTTTCAAAATTTCTAACAATATTATTTTTCAATACGAAAAAGGTCAAGTTTGATTAAGCCATCCATTACTCTAATAAGTAACTGCATCAATTTAGTAATTCGATCGCTGGAAGACTCCGTAATAAACTGGAGGATTCGCCCCGATCGAATGATCTCGATGCCAATGTTCTAATGAAGAGAATATTCTCTAATACAGAAAAGAATGACGCGAGGCGCCAGGAAGGGGCGCCGGTTAGACGGCACATTGTATCGAGTGCAATCGACGAGAAAAACATTGCGAAAGGGAGAATCGACGAGAAATAAGTAGCGTGGGTGCCAACATTACCTTTACACTCGTCAGGATGAGAATTAATGGTAGCGTATCCGCATCTATCACCCCCCCCCCCCNCCCCCCCCCCCTCTATCGCAATATCTGTCCCCTTGCGTTTTCCGTAATGTGTTCGACCATTTTGGCTAATTAATTGAACGAATGTGAAAAGATGGAATGAAAATTATCCTCACATGTACATTGTTAAAAGTTTGTGGCTGAAATTTCTCCGAAATTTCTTGGAAAATGTATAAACTAACAGTTACACTGAAATTTGAAGGAATGTCGTCGTTGAAAATTCCATATCTATCGAATAGGCAATACTCCTGGGCTAAAAATTAAGCTGATCAAGGAAAATTTACGACCAGTATGAGATGATTGCCTATTTATTATTAATTTGGAAGGAATTGAAATATTCATTCTTGGTTTTGTGATTGATAGCTTGGTTCAGTTCAAGATTTATATAATTTTCAAGTGAATTTATTATTTGAATTGATTTCGTTATTATTCTTCAGTTGTTTAAATATAATTTAAGGCATTATTTGATGAAAGGAACGAGGATACTTATCATTTTAAGTTTGGATTTCCAGTGAAAACTAGCGCGATCAATTGATTTCGTAACGATAATAGTTTGGAATACAATGACGCGGAATAAATGTTTGATATAAATTTTAGTTGAATTGAGGTTGATTCACTTGAGTATTTTCCGAGACCGAGCAATTAATTTAAGTTTTGGATAGGTTGAATGTTTTGATGCGTCCACACTGACGGCTCAACGTGAAGTGTCTTTTTCCCATTGCGTATGGCTACGACAGCCTTCCGGTAGTAGGACCCGGGTTTATACCTCATTCCAGGAGCATTTTCAAGTTTTCTGTTTTTAGCTGTAATTTCCATGAACAGAAGGATACACTACAGTTTTTCTCTTGAGTTGGAGGCGGTAGATACTCAAATGTAACATTTTGTGTTGATATTTGGTAGCTTCGGAACGACAGACCCACACTGAGAAAAAAATTTTCTAATATCTGAAACATATTTTGTGAGACAAGTAAATTTTCTTCAATTGCTTAATTCTCTCAGGCATCTCAACTCACATGACCCGAGAAAGGCCTCATGCTTTAAAATATTCTTGTACTCAAGTATGATTTTGTCGCAAATGAACTTATTTAAATCGCGTAGAAGAATCATCAATCTTCGAGATTTAAGCCATTTCATGATTTTTTCGTTATGCACTTCCAATAGTGCAATGTGTAAAATATTCATGACGTAACACGGAACAATAGTGATGAATGAAAATTTATTCAAGTTCCGTGAAGTGCACACATTCTGAGATTTAAGCCATTGAAAATAATTTACTTTTCTCAAGAAAATATGTTTCAGATATTAGAATTTTTTTTTGTCAGTGCATGATATTTGTTGGAAATTAACAATTTGGGACATTTCGCGAATACTTTCACGATAATTAATTCAATATTCTGTTCTACGACGGAACACCATATTTGATGGAAGAATCAATGGAAATTGTAAATTTATAAATTGGCAGCCATTTTTCTCGGTGCACCGCAATGTCGGACGTTACTCTGTGCAATCAAAAAAATATCGGTATATGTAGGTATTTCGGGGGTGGATATCTCCTAGGAATGGGGCAGTAATGCTTGGAACGACGACGGATGGTCAATCGAATGAGGGGACATTACTATGGATCGAGTGGGAGTCCGTAGGTGGGGCGATCTATTATCCAATGCTTCAGGCTAAATTTCACGGATTAAAATTATAAGGATTTAGTATGCATGCAGGACACGTTTTGAATATTGCACGGTTACGTATGCATGCAATCTGCGAGGGGTTATCTAGAGGTAATTCTACAGGTCCTGCATTTCTGACATGGCATTGAGAAGCCGGAGCTATTTTACAGTCACGTGGAGATTGACAATGGGGAATCATGAATTTTCTAATGGAATGAAAATAAAGAACACTGTTAGAAATTTATGGAGAATTAAGGGACAGCATGTGAACGTTTGTGCATAAAATTTTGATTACACAATATAATTATATTTCTCGTTAAATCCCAACAACATTGAATATTCTTGAAAAATTCAAGGAAAATTGAGTTTTTTCAGGGACATGTCACTGATTTTCCGGAATCTACCCCAAATTTCAAGGAATTCGCAAATGTGAAATTTAACGACTGCGAAATTATGAAATTTAGTAATTTTGTCTCTAATTTTTTATTGAAGTCGTCGCAAATTTTTAGGTACTCATCTCGAATTTTTAATAATCAGGTTGATTCTAGTTACTGTCCAATATCACCAATAATTGGTGATTGATTTCTAGCAATCGATAACATGTCCCTGGACACCAAGAACATTTTTTATCTGTAATAGTCGCTGGAAATTTTATAATTTTCCCTCTCATTCTTGTTTCATACAATGAGAATCCACGAGAATCTCATAAATCTACCCATCCCAATACTGACACGAACTTCCAAAAATTCATTCCACATTTGAATCCCTAAAATATGTTGAACAAACAAGCCAACATTCAAATCTCCCCAATGCGCCGGCAAATGCCGCAATAAACAATTGCTGACACCTCCCCCTGCACCCCTAAAACACCCAACTCCCCTGACTCCCTGTCTATCACCCATCCACAATCTTCCAGTCCCTCTCGAGCCTCCCATACCCCGACAGCACGAACATTCTCCCAGTGGCAGTAGCGATAGAGTCGCAGTGTAAAGCTACACACGGGTAGTTGGCTTCGTGTCGGCAACGACACGCGATCAGAGTATACTCATAAAGTACTTTAAAGTACCGTTTCACTTAGTCATCGGGCTTGAGATTGCCCTGTGCATCGAAATGGCGGGTAGCCAAGGCCCGTCATTGCCCCCCCCCCTGCCCCTCCCCCACGCGGGTGGGGAGGGCTATAAAACGGCCTATCCTCATGCAATACACATTTTTCAATCCATTACATTCCTGTTTAAATTCGCCGTCATCCGGGGGAGTGTCCTTTCCCGATGAACCCAATAGTCAATAGTAAATAAGAGAATGAGGAGACTAAACTATTCCATCGATTCGCAGCGAAAAAACAAAGAGACGTTGACTCATCCTCTCTATTCTTCCCCAACTCATATTTACCTGTCCGTCATTTTTTTTGCTCTCGAAAAGTCCATTCTAGGAATGACAAATGACAGACCAGGAATATTGGATTGTATCGATTTACGAATGGTTGTTAAGTTTAATGCTAACCGATCATGTGGAGGATTAATGCGAAAAGACAGGGTTTTTCCATCGTAACGAAAAAAAGAATAGACATTTCAATTTATTTTTAGATTATTTTCTACTAACAAAAATATCAAGACTCCGTGGAGAATGGTCGGGTGGAGATATCAAAAAATTTCAATCTATCCTTTCCCCTCACTACGACGACTATTTATTTCGACCTACATGTTGAGAGTTCTCAGAAGAAAATAAGAGAGATAGAGGGAATTTGACATTTCCATCAAACTTTCGGGTGGGGATTTTTACGATGTATTATTATTTTTATGATTCGGCTCGGGAATTACATTTTTTCCCCACGAATTCTACCGCGGATTTGTCCTTTAGGGGGGGGGGATTGAACTACTTGGGATGAGCATAGCGTTGACTCGCACTACATGATTGGGAATTCTCCGAGAATTGAGGGGGACGTATGTGCCGATTCTGAATGTTTTGAGCTTGAAGGGAATTTGGAAGAAGGTTCTTTCTCAGGGATAGCCATATTCATAAATCATAATTACAGTCAAATTTTCAAGCCGTCAATTAGTTAACATCACTCTTGAATTTTTTACTATTTAAGTAATCATCAATTAAATAGTCAAATTATGAATTATTTTATTAAGCAATAATTCAAGTAGGAAGATTGACGATTATTCGGCTAATCGAAAATCCCTTTTACGAAATTAGAATTAATTGCTTAATGAAAAATTTACAGCTCCGTATTGGCAAATAGTTAATTCATCATCAATTGGAAATTTAAATTATTAATACTATACTATTTAAAAATTTTAATGAGTATATTTAAACCTTTTTCAGTATAAATCGGAAATCCTCTTAATTTTGATGGTCATCCCTGTTTTTTTACTGGATTGGGGATTTTATTCACTCGTTGGTGAATGCAACTTTAAAAACCCATGGAAAGTGTGAAATTCAGTTCAATTATCTTATAAAAATGATTAGGAATCAGAAAAATTCAGGTGAATATATTCCTGAAATTTCTATTAATTGAAAATTTAACGTAATTAGGGACTGAATGCTCAGGTTTTTAATCAAACTGGAACGTACGCGCGCGCTGATCTATCGCCTCATTTACTTGTGAAGAGTTTCTTTTTCTTCTTTGAAATTTCAAATGTATAAAATGTCGTGCACGCATAAATGCATTATAAAAATGAATAGTAAGTAAAAAATTGATGAATAATTTTAAATTTTTTATCAATTCCCTTTGGCTTTTCAAAGTGACTCGATGGAATGTTTCAATATTCAGGAAATTCTGAGTTTTTGAAAATACATTACCTTCCTCTCCTCAATCCTACCCTGTTGCCGGCTTTCGTAATCCTGCCGTATCCTCGCCATGAGTTTCAGCATGTACCTGCGGTCCGTCAGTCTCACAACACTGCTGCCCATCAGCATCTCCAGCTTGGATCTCACCGGTGGATTGCTGAAGCTATAACAAAACGACCCATCACGTGAGAATCCCGTCATCTCACGGATGTCGTGAATCGCAGAAAAAAAAAGATTTTGATGTTCAAGATTTTTTAAATATTTGCCCTCTAAACTGCGTGGAAATTTTTTTTGCCACAAAAAAATCCGCAATTTAAAATTCTTTGCAAATACAATTTCCCAGAAAAAATAGGTGTCAACATATGTGTGCATCAAATTTTACTCTCCGTCAGAGAAATTTTGTCTGGATAAAAAAAATTCAGTGTGTGTCATTTAAAAATGATCAGAACAGAATTTCTCCTGCGAATTCCCTCAAAATTCAATGATCCCCTTTTACACGGAGAGAAATAGTCAGTAAAAATTACGGAACAATCCACGTAATCCGCAATGGAGAATCGTTTCCCGGAAATTTTCATAGGAATGGAAGAGCAGAAATCTGAAACGTTCAGTGAATTTTCAGGCTCATCACCGAAAAAAGTACGAAATTGTCACGTAATTTTTTCCGAAGAAGTAAAATCTTACAGAAACTTCCCAACTTATTATGCCTGCAAAATCAAAAATTCTGGAACGTTCAACAATTTTTATGAAGCTGGTGAGTTATTTCTACGTTCCATTCCGTAAAATTTCTCAATCGTTGGGGACAAATTACGGAACGACTTGTTGTGCCCACAGCGGTGAGTCACCAGACGGGTGTCCCATTTACCTGGCGATTCGTACAATTTCAGTTCCGACTCACACTTTTCATTGAATTTTACTTCGCACGCGGATTACGTTTCGAAACGTAGTTTTCCATTTTTTTCTGGCAATTTTCACTGAATTTTTCTCTCCGTGTACAGAACAGGAATATATTTCTTATCAAACTTTTCTCCTTGCGAACTAAGAGCAGTTAAAAACAGCGGTCGATGCATCGTGAGCCCACCAACCCAGCTCTCAACCCACATCATTGGCATGAATAATTCTCAGAGAGATGAAGACCGGGGCAAAATTGGCTGGTCAATGTCGATGCATTCACATCGCAAATTCGTTGAATTTCGCCTCCTCCCCCTCAGCTATGAAAACGAAAATCTCCCCATTTTGCCCCGCATCCCAGTGCTTACGTCATTCGCCGGACGATTGTATCTTCCCATCAGCGATTGTACTTCTTCCCGTCACTCTACGATAAATCCATAGATTTCGACCAAAAATATCAAATTCCATGGATTTTTTCGTCACTGAGAAAAAAATTCACCAAAACAGCCTGATACCGATTTATCGATAGTTTTATCAGACAACTCCACATTCAACCAACTTCTGGGCTCGACTGAGCCAGGTATGAACAGAAATTCACGTGAAATAAGGTTTCGTGACTAACGGGCCTCCAGGCTGTGAGGGTGGCTAGAGGGTGGTAAAACTATCTCCTCAGCTGGTATGACAAGAGCAGTTTCGATGCGTTTACGCTGCATTTAACGCGTCTGCATGACCTTCCCGATGACGCTGATGGTTGCGTCAACGATTAAACGACGAGTGAGAGGTTTCAGCGGATTCGTCGAGTCTCGAATCGAGAGTTGTTTCGAAGGAAATGAAGTTGGCGAAGGATGAAATTATAAACTACTCAAAATTGTGATGGTAATTCTGAACTTGTAATGGACTTTAATGTACCTTAATAACACTGCAAACTCTTGAATTGCAAGTACACGCGAGGGTTCAACGGGTGAATTGCTGAAAAATTAGGGTTTAGGTTTCGGTTGTGGTTTTTATTCATAATGAAGACATGATGTGGGCAGGAGAGAGATTGTAATTCAGGGGAAACAAATTGGAATTTCATGGAGAGTTTAGGCGGATTTTACAGGAGAGTGACAGTGAATTAGATTGAGGCAGGAAAATAATTATGAAAATTTCATAATTATTTCATAAATTTCAGTGGAAATTTAATCGAATGACAATTGTTTCTGCAGCACAATAAATCATAGTGTTTTCAATTAGTTGAAAATTTAAGAAAATATTTGCTTGAATTTCACTGATTTCTAGTATTTTTAGGTTTAATTGAACTGAATTTTTTAGTTTCCATTATTGTTTCTTCAAATTATGAATTTTTAGTGACGAAATTCATTGGAATTTCGATGGAACAGAATTTCAGGGGAGTCAAAATTTTGTAATAATGCGGGACTTATAAAATGTCAAGTTTGACGTGAAAGTCGAATCAAATTAATCAATTTCAAACACATTTTGGACGTGAATTTCAAAAGTACTTGAATTTTTAACGAATTTAGAATTCAAGAATATATTCGCGAATTCAAGAATATATCCAGAAAAATCAGATCATTTTTATAGAGAAAATTCGCAAAAATTATAGAGCTGCATTATTTCTTTTACAGCACCAGAAAATTATTCTAATGAATGAGAATGAGAGATTTCTACTGAATAATGGCCTTGAAATTCACTGATTCCCTTGATTTTCTAATCGGAATAAATTTTTTCAATGACGAAATTTACGAAAATTCCAACGAAAATGCCCCTCATTCAAAATACTACCGTAATAATAAATTGTGTTTCTGAAATTTCAACGGAAAATCATCACCAGCAGGATTGATAAAACAAGGAGAGGGCTGGTCGTAGACTCTACGTAATGTAATTGATGTTATTTTATCGGCAAATATGTACACCGGAACTTAATAGGGTGGAAAGACCGATAATTCATCCACTGCCTTCAGCTTCACGGTCGTACACAATTTATTTTATTTATCTATTTTCTCCAGGGGTGATACGCCAGTTGACATTGATCAAGAATAAAACCACGGGGTTCGAATTTATGACGGTTAATTAATGAAAGATCCAGGATTGATTGAGTGACGTTTTTCCAATCGAGATAATTAGGGGAATAACCAGAACAAATAGGTGTGACTGTCGACGACAATTAGTTGAGTATTCCACAGTAAAAAATATGCCCATTGGAGAGAATGAGTCCTCCATCAGTCGACGGCAATTAAAATTAATTGGAACAATGCGAAAAAAATCGTAAAAAAGTGATGTGTTTTTTTAAGATCGCAAAGTTCCTTTAATTCCTTATTATTTTTAATCAACAATTTTCCCCTCTTTTTTACCAAAATGCAAGAATGAGGAATTCGTGAAGGTCGACCATGTTTACGACTGTACGAAACTCTTACGACTGAATTTTTATTTGCGTCTGAATAGCGTAAAAATTGGCAGACGTGTGCACCAAATGCTCCGAAGTATTTTGATAGAAGAAGTGGAGCAGAACAAAAAAGTGGATGAAGGGGAAGGAGATAGGGTTTGATGGTAGTGCTGAGTACGGAATAGAAAAATAAGTAAAAAAAATGTGAGGAAAAAAAAAGAATGAAATCGTTGGAAACGTTTGTCTGCTTGAGTTTCCTGAGCGTGACACAACGAGAAGAGAAATAGAGAAGAAGAAAAAATAGATAATGCAGGCGTAATGGTGAGTGCATGCCAGTGGGACAGGTTCAACGAATGTGGGACATAGGGAAGGACGATCGAGTATCGATTATTTGGTTTAGCGGGGGAGAAGGGGGTGAATTTATGCGCTCCCGCATGGGCTAGAGACAGCCAAGGTCCTTCAGTTCTTCACTGAATTGTGTGTACCATCTCCTCTTCCTACCACTCCACAGCTACTTCTCTTGTCGCTTTTGTTTTCGTTAGATGGGGCGTTATGTAGGCGGTTCCGACAAATTGTCCGCGCGAGAGGTGTTGATGAAAGGGGAGAAAAATTACACGGTCAGGAGGTGACGAGTGGAAGGGGGAGACGGAGGGATACTTTCAATGGGCTTCATTCAAGACAACTCGGAGGTGAATGGGAATGGATTTTTTTTATCTGTTGGAGTATTTTTGGATATTGATGAGAGGAGGTCGATGGGGTGTCGATGGATTTTCTGGGGCCTCTGGGTTTTAGATATTGATTGATTGATTATTTCGGGGCTTCGGATTTTGGAGGGAGATCGGTCAGATCAGTATTTCAAGGGATATATTGGGGAAAAAATTTGGCTGAATTTTCCGGAAAAAGAGGTTGGGGTGGATTTGCGGGGACAAAGTCAATGGAGGTTTAAGATTCTCGAAAAATTTACGTAAAGTCCCATTTTTTAGGGGTAGGACGATGGAAATTTTACAATTTGCAGGAATTTTTAGGTGAAAAAGACTATTTACTTCAGAGTTCTCTTGAGTTTTTAGAGATTTTTTTTTAATTCTTGGAATTCCAGGAATTTTTGAAGGAACTCATTGAATATTCTGATTTTTTATTAATTTTCCCGGAATAATTGAATTGGAAACCGGGATTTTTCCATGAAACTATGAATTTTCAATGTCAAAATTCTTTGAAATTTCAATGGAAATATCACTTGTTAGAAATTTCCAAGACTCTCATCGGAAATTTCAGTGAAAAATTTTAAACAGTCTAAATGCTAATGGATTTGCAATTGTTTTGGAACAGTCCGAAATATCGAATCCGTCTTCAACTACGATATTAAAGACTTGTTAGTAATTCTCAGGAATCTATCCACAATTATTAGAATTCCGCGATTGCAATATTCAACTAGTTCGGAATTCTGAAATTCAGTATTTTGGCACCAATTTTCAGTGGCATTGTCATTAATTTTTAGTGACATCGTCACTATTTTTCAGGCAAATATCACTAGTTTTCAGGGACTCATCTCTAATTAATAAGAATCTATTACCAAATTTCAGTGATAGAAATCGCTGATAATCACGGCTACCCTAGGAAGTGTTCATTATCACCAATAATTTGTGATAAATTTCTGAAAATCACTGAGAAGTCTCTCGAAATCAGGGACATGTTCCTGAAAATCTATGAAATGTTCCTGAAAGTGGAAAAAAAATTCTGTTTTCTTCAGAAGGTGAAGCCTTTATGTACACTGTCAGAAAAAAATGAAATTTCATGGACAGTTGACTACTAATTTTCGGAACAGTGACACTGAATGCGATTTAGGGGAAAAAAATCATGAAATTTCAGGTTTCAGCATAAAGACGAGAATTTTT